AGAACAAGAGATCGGTTAGCGATTGCGAGGGAATGGGCATCGAGAGCACATAGGACGGTGGTGCCGGCATCAGGGGTTAGCCAACCTTCCTTTCCCGCACCGAATTCCGTCAAATCTTCGCAGGCGATGCAGCCGAGTTCCGTCAAATGGTGGCTCCGCTTGGACATTGGCATTAGATTTCGTTTTTTTCCCCCCTCGTCGACGGCTGAGTGTATGGAAGGAAAGAATTTTGAATAGGAAGGGAAAGCACGTGACCTTCTCGTGTCCAGCTATTAGTTATAATATAAATAGTTAATTGCAGCATGCATCCCCCAATTACGTCCATCCTAAATTGGTCATCAAAATTTTAAAACATTCTAATTGACCCCTTGCAATATCAACGTCACTTCAATTAGATCTTTTCGTCCATCTAACCATCTAGTTGAGCAGTAAATGTCAACTTAGACATAACATAAAACATATTTAAAATATATTAACTAAATTTGGATTTCAATAGTTTGAACCTAAAGAAATAGGAAACTTGACAATGCTTAGGTTTTTAGGTCTCGGCCAAAACCTGATTCAAGGTAAACGAAAACTTGATGGAAGGTTTCTCGAGTTTAATATCAGTTTTATTTTTTATTTTTTTAATATAAGCAGCTATTTTTTTATTAAAAATAAAATATATCTAAATCAGAACGAATGTTTATGCTCATAATTGTAAATTTATTTTTTTATTAAAAATAAAATATATCTAAATCAGAACGAATGTTTATGCTCATAATTGTAAATTTATTTTTTATTAAAAATAATATATATATAAATTAGAACGAATATTTACGATCATCATTGTAAATTAAATACATAATAAAAATATTTTTTTTGTAATTATTAATATAAAAAAACTAGTTACTTAAGATCACAAAAATACTATACAAGGAAAAAGTTAAAACCCTAATCAAACAAACTCAAATAAAAAGATAGATACAAATAGATTTAACCGCGTCGACAAATAAACTACAAAAGATGATCAAGCTATTGAAAGATCATCGACAAATCGCAAATCAGAGACGAGCGACTGTGATAAAACTATCTATGAACGAAACCACGTATCCAAATCCAATTCGAGGGCTTCATGCAGGGAAGATAAGCATGATACAAATAAGCGTCATCTTGATTAGTCATGGCGATGTCAAAGATAAACGAAAACAACATCCAAACGACTGAAATGTACCATAAAAGCAGAAAAATCGTACCATAAAGGTAGAGAAAAATGTACCATAAGGTAGAGTTATTAAAAAATAAAAAATTAAAGATAAACAATAATAAAATAAAAACAAAAAATACCGACGGTCGACGATTAACCCTAAGAGTCCAAAACTAGTGTAACCGTCAGTCACAAAAATAAGAAGAAAAGAGACTAATGAATAACGAAAATAGAGAAATCTAGGACAAACCCTAGTATGAACTTAATTTCGTAGGTATGCGTGCAAATGGTTATATAGATTTTTTTTTATAACCAAATATTTGACAGTATAAATATATAATAGATATTAACTTTATAATTATGAGTAATTCTTGGTATTCTATGTAATTTTTAGGTTTACCCGGATTTGTTTGTTGGTTCCAACTTCCAACTCAATACCCTCAACCTTAACAAGGCTTAAACACATCCCGTATCTGGATTTGTCTTCCAATTCTCTGAGTGGGGCTCTCCAAATTGGGAACTGGAAGAATGCTACATATCTGGATTTTCTGCAAAACAACTTTCAGGTGCAATCCCGGTATCTTGATTAACTGCACTGAATGTTGCAGACAACGGGTTAGGTGATACCTTTCCCCATTAATTAGGGACGCTTCTAAGCTTAGAGTTCTTGTTTTGAGATCGAATAGATTTCATGGTTCCACTCAAGTGTCCATACCCACTTCTTCCTTCTCCAAATTGCAAATAATTGATCTCTCTCGTAATGACTTCGCTGACCTATTCCAAGCTGACATGTATGTTCTGCACGCATAGCTGCTTGTCTTCCATGGAATGTTTTTTCTGATTGGATTTCTTAGTTGATAGCTTGCGTCAGTTATTCAGCTCTCAGGTAATGCTTGTCTAGGAAATTTCCGTGCTCATGTTATTGGAATGACGAGTCGATTCATATTAAATCCAAATAAAGACTTAACTGTATTCACATGATCGATTTAACAATTTTACGATCAATACTGAAATATGTATCCATATACATAAAGATTTGATTACGACTACACTCACTTAATCTGGACTTTTAAAATACTTTGCATCATTGATTATTCGATAACTTTAACTTTTATTTTGGATTTAGGAGTTTTCATCAAATCCTCTTTATCCAGCAAAAAATAAATAAATTTTAAGATATATTTATCATCAAAATCATATTTAAATATGAACCCTGAATTGTCATACATCTTTATGTTAATTTAGGGTTTCATTTACACTCACTTGATGATGAATCAGATACAACTAGATAATATAACTAAACTCGAGTTTCACGAATTATATGTTATTTTGGAGTTTAAATGTCTAAATTAAGGGTTAATGGTGGTTTCTAATTTCTCTAAAAACAATTGGAGTTTCACGAATATATATATTTATAAATACTTAACAAATAAAATATTCGAGTAACATTGATTCTTATCCTTAGGGGGAAAAATATAATAAAATGAATACTTCCATTCATATAACCCAACAGGAAAATTCAGAAAGGAATTGACTTCATCAATCATCATTTAATTAAGAGTAAAGTATATCAAAGGTCATTATCAAAATGATTTTCTGATAAGTAAATATTCAAATATTATATAATAATCATTAAAATTTTTAAATAATTATTAATTGATTATTAAATTTATCAAACTATTATAAAATAGTCATTGAACTTTTTAAATAATTATAAAATACTCATTAAATTGATCAAATTATTATAAAATGGTCATTAAACTTATCAAAATTTATTATTATTTATAATTATATAAGGGCTATTTTATAATAATTAGATAAATTTAATAACCATTTTATAATATTTAAAAGTTCAATAACCAACAAATTCATTTTAATATAAGTCCATAGAATATTTTGAAATAATTCAATGTTCTCTAATATAATTTATCCTTTAATTAATCATCATATTATTACACTACTCTTTTCAATAGTGTGGCAAGTGGAGGTTGAATTACTCGTGTAGGGTTGTGAAAAAAATTATTGACTCATATGAGGTTTAGTCGAAATTATTTCTTGAGATAATGTGATCGTTATAGTAATGGAGAAGACGTCGTGAACACAATGTGTCTTCTCCATTTTTCACGCTGTTGAAACCCCAAAAACCATCAAAACTCTCAAAAAAACAAAGTTGGAGTCACATTGTGGTTGCTGTGTTTTTCGAAAAACACATTATATTCTCGACATCTTTCGACGAATACTATAACAATAACACTAAATTAGAAAATAATTATGACGATAACCTATACAAGATAATAATTTTTTTCACAACCCACGAGAGCAATTCAGCCGGCAAGAGGGCAACAAAATATAAACCGTATGGTTGACGAAGACCATTTCAAGTCCTACATAAATGTCCTTTTTCTTCTTCTTCTTTTTATAATTATATCATGACAACTTTAGTCATTAATATTTAAAGTGTGGTCCCTCAACTATAGGATCTTATTTGTTGAGTTCCTCGGCTACTAAAAATTATAAAATGGTCCCTCGACTATAGGGAGTTGCCTTTTTGAGTTCTTCGACTATTAAAAATTACAAAATGGTTACCCGATTATTCATTATTTTTCAAACTTATCATTTTTCGTTAAAAAATTAATGGTTGTCTTAGTTGGGCATGCTGACTAAGATATGATAGTCGTTTGAGATTATGAGATCATATTTTATCATATCTCAATCAGCAGATTAACGTCCAACTTAGTTTGCAGTCAAATTTTTAACAAAAAAATATGAGTTTAAAACATAATGAATAGTTGGGTGACCATTTTGTAATTTTTAATAGTCAAGGGACTCAACAAAGCAACTCCCTATAGTCGGGAGACCGTTTTGTAACTTTTAATAATCGGAAGACACAACAAAATAAATATATAGTCAAGGGACCATTTATATACTTTACCCTTAAAATATTTTATCGAATTGAATTTCTATAACAATATACTTAAAAAGCTCCCCATCTTACTCTCTCTCTCTCTCTCTCTCTCTCTCTATATATATATATATATATATATATATATATATATATATATGGGATAAAATCCTGTTACACAATATAAAACTCTTTTAGTTTTACACAGATTTAGGACCGTTGGATGAGTAAAAATAGATGGTTGACATTAACAGTAGAAAATGAGAAGATATTCACTGGAAAAAAATAAGGAGTTAATCTCATCTATCTATTTTCACTCATCCAACGGTCCTAAATTTATGTAAAACTAATGAGTAAAACTTTATAGGATCCAACTACATAGTGTAAAGTATTTTAGGATCGTAGGATGAGGGTAAATCAAAGACTGAGACTAACAATAAGAAATATGAAGATATTCACTGGGAAAAAAAAGCAGGTTAATCTTAGCCTTTAGTTTTCCCTCATTCAAAGATCCTAAAAAGATATAAAACTAAAGTGTAAGTGGATGTTAACCCTATATATATATATATATGAACAAAAACGAATATAAAATTTTATGTTAGGAGGTATAAACTTAAAAAGTTATATTTAAAATTTAGATGATATAAAATTATAAAATTTTAAAGAATATGAAACTAAATAATCAATAAAATATATAAAATAATTAAATTATATCATAATTTAAAATTTACACGTAGTTCGACTATATTATTTAAATCCATAACCGTATATGAATATTGAACATTCGCCCATTTTTTTACATGGAAAAAGAAAGGGTCAAGTTACTTGGAATTCACCCATTTTACCCCATCGCCTATACTATTTCTTTTTTGAATTTCCTCTTGCACGCAAGTTCTTCTTTCGCCAAACTTGATGGGAAACACTCGGTTCATTCTGATTCCTACCGTGGCGACGCTATTGCTTAATCTTGTAATTTCATTCTCCATGAAAACAAAAACTGATATCAACACAGATCAATCGGCTCTTCTTGAACTGAAAGCCCGTGTCGTTGGTGATTCTCAAAGGATCTTGACAGGCAACTGGTCCACCACTATTCCTGTTTTTAATTGGATTGGTGTCACTTGCGGATCACGACACCGAAGAGTCACAGCTCTCGATCTTTCCAAAATGAATCTCTCTGGCACCCTTCCACCTAACTTGGGAAATCTATCTTTCCTTTCTTTGCTCCACATGAGGAACAACAATTTCTATGGCTCATTACCCATCGAGTTGACTCATTTGCATCGGTTGAAATTTTTAAGTATGCCTATTAACATGTTTCACGGAGAAATCTCATCGTGGTTTGGTTACTTCCCTGAACTTCAATACTTGTCTTTGATCTATAACAATTTCACTGGTCATATCCCATCGGATATATGTGATCGTCTACCTTCACTGAAGCAGTTTATTTGACAGAAAATGAGTTTTCCGGTAAAATACCAATAGGTTTATTTAAGTGCAAAGAGTTACATAATCTGTCCTTGGCTGTTAATAGTTTGGAGGGGATTTTACCGAAAGAATTAGGGAATTTGACAATGCTCGCGACCCTATATCTTCACGACAACCTGATTGAAGGTAAACAAAAATCTTTTGGACGTAATTTTAGTTTTCTGTTTAGAAAGATTTTGCCGACGCATTTGTTCGAATCTAAAATTTCCAAAAAAAGAAACCACTCTATTTTATCACTGAAACCGTTCCACGAGTTCATAAGAAAATGACTTTTAAAAAACTAAAACATTTTCATTGTGCAGGTATAATAATCCCGCTACAAATTGGAGATCTTGTCAACTTGGAAGTATTGAACATTGGTGGCAATATGCTAAAAGGGCAACTTCCACCCATCGGTAATCTAACAAGTTTGGTACATCTCGATCTATCGGATAATAATCTAACAGGTATTATATAACATTTCTTCACTATTTATGGTTTACTTTTTTGTTCAAATTCAATATATTTAATTATATGTCAATGATATTGATTTAGTTTAGTTCGGATGATATCATTCTGTTCGGTTGATGTCATTATCATTGTAACATTCGGGAGGACGTAATATCAAATATGCTTAATTGCTCACTACATTTCGATTTAATAGTAAACAAGAAGTTTGATTAGTTTAGACGTTGTATAAAAAAATATGTATGCTTTATAACTACAATTAGAATTACAACTAGTATATTCTTATAATTATAATCAAAATTAATTATTATAATGCACAATAGAGACTGATAATTGAAATATATTTAAACTTGAGCTAGAATAATTCTAAACATAGTTCACATATATTAAAATTAAAATTAAAATAAATCTAGAGCAAAAATAAGTTGACCAACAACTTTTATATATATATTTTCTAACAAATTAATTTTATGGTGCAGGTGAAATCCCACGACAAATTGAAGATCTTGTCGACATGGAAATATTAAGGTTTCGTAACAATATGCTAAAAGGGCATCTTGCATCCATCTGCAATCTAACACGTTTGTGGGTTCTTGATTTATCCATCACATATCAGGTAATCTAACACTTTTGTCGCTTATCGGTAATCTAACGAGATTGACAACACTGGATTTGTCCTATAATAGTCTGATTGGACAGATCCCCGCCACAATTGCAAGTTTAAGAAACTTGCAAGTTCTCGTTGTTTCGGACAATGTGCTGGTAAATGATATCCCATCCGAGTTGTGCCGATTGGGGAGTTTGCTCATCTTGGATCTCAAACGTAACAAGTTGTCCGGACGAATACCAGCATGCATAGGTGATCTGGTTTACAATAGCTGTAGTTATACCCATTTTCACAAGCATAGATTTGTCGGTCAACGGATTCTATGGAGAAATTCCTGAGGCCTTTGGAGAGCTTCGCATACTTCTAGCACTCAATCTCTCTCATAATAGCCTAACCGGTCCTATCCCTCCGTCATTCGGGAATTTGGCAGAACTTGAATCTTTGGATCTCTCGCTTAACAAGCTGAGTGGCAGAATCCCTTCCGAATTGACGAATATGACATTTCTTGGAGTGCTTAAGCTCCAGTACAACAATCTTGTGGGAGCCATTCCCTGTGGCAAGCAATTTGAAACGTTTGATAATGATTCTTATAGAGAGAACTTGGGTTTGTGTGCATTCCCATTGTCAAAGGAATGTGACTATGATGAGAGACCAGTGCCAATGCAAGATGAAGAAGGTAATGGGAATGGAATAGCCTTTGTCTGGAAAGGTGCAATGATGGGGTACGTATGTGGTGTGGTATTGGGAATAAGCATGGCATACATTGTGTTCACAACAGGAAGACCATGATGGTTAATCCGATTGATTGAGAGAGATTTGCAAGAGAAGTTTACGTGCTGGATTCTGAAGAACTTAAGGAAGAAAAGAAACTAATCCTACAAATCCATCATCTGTTTTTTTCATCATCAACCAGGTAACTTTGGAAATGAGTCCGAGGGAAGATGAAGTTATGTTCTGCAGGCATAGTTGCTTGTCTTCCATGGAATGTTTTTTTCCGATTGGAGTTCTTAGTTGATAGCTTGCGTCAGTTTTTCAGCTCTCATGTGATGCTTGTCTAGGCTTACCTCCATGTATTCGTCTGGCGCGTCCTACCATACCATGTAAAATACTTGCATTCCAGGATATTCTTAGGATAACAGAACAAAGAGCTTTACACCTACAATTCTTGAAAATCCAATTTGTCATGGCCATGTACAATACACTATATTCACACCAAAAGCCTGTAATATAGTCATCCATAGCTGCTGCATATATGAACACACTGCAAACAAATGATCATTGGACTACATCCCCTCATTACAAAGCCGACAAGTCAGGTCCACTTGCTGACTCCATCAGAAAATATGATCCTTAGATTGCAAGCGAATAATTAAAACTAGCAATGAGTGTCCTTAAGAAACTCCAACAAGATGACAATGTAAAAGCAGGTCTCAATGCTTAGTAATCGATATCAATGCTTACAAACTTAGCCTGGTAAAACCACTGCTGCTGTTCGGAAGAAACGTGCTTGATTTTAGCAATAGCAGATATGAATGAAGTTTTATTTCTGACAAAATATAATGCAAAGGCAAAAAGGGTCCTTAAGATTTAAGAATCAATCTAAAGTATAATAATCTCCGATCACAGTTTGAGTCCAGGTTTTGCTGTTAAAAAGATATTACGGATAGCTTAAAACTACTAAAGTACTACATGCCAGCCACTGATAAGCATAAGCTACGTTGTGAATCAGCAGCTACTAACCAAAATTGACTAAGTGCTGAAATAGTCCTCAGGTAGGTAAAATTTCAATCCAATCGCCTGCAACCACGAAAATTTCGTGTAAACAAAACAGTTACTGAAAATTTGAAAGAACAAGGCCATCTTCAGTATTCCAGTCTCGGCCAAATGGTAGATTAGAAAGGCAAGTTATAGCAACCACAAATCAATTATGGAAAACTAAACTTTCGGAAAATAAAATAATCAATAAAATGAACGAGTTCAATGACACCTGTGCAAATTTTATATCAGCATCACTGTGATCATTGGGTCTCCCAGCAGCATCGCCAACATAAAAGGATCTACCAAGACAATCAAAGTTTTCGTCAAATCAGTGTTCCTATTCATAGTGATATTGACAAAACTAAAAGTTGAACACCACCAATATCACCCTCTTATACTCCAAAAATTCCCAAAGCACTACCAGCGAGTTTAAGCAACCTACTTAAAAGTTTAGAATAGTGAAACAATATAATGAAGACGCAGAAAAATAACTGATCCATATCAATTGGAATGCCAGAATTGAAATTTTTCTCCATGATGTGCCACATCCCAGTATTTGGTTTGCGGAAAGGATCATCTGCTTTACCACCAGAACTGCCTATTCCGCAAGCTATAAAAACCTGCACATGTATAACGGAGTGAAGACTTTTCAAATTCATGATATTTTCACATTATTGTGGAGCACTTTAGACGCATTATAAAGGCATTTAAAAAATGTTTCCATCTTTACAGAGATCAGCATGGTGATTTTATACTTCATTGCATCATGTATTGTAAAGTGACCATGGAACATTTTCAGACATCAGAGAATGATATCTAACAAGTTGTTTTACTTAATGTATTCAAAGATCCCAGGAGACCTCAAAGCCTGGACTGTCCCCATCAATCCCATAATTGCTTTTTAGCTGGAAACTTTAAGCAGCACATTTAACTCGATTAAAATAAACCCTAATCTCAAATTAGTGGGGGTTGACCTGATAAATGTATTTACCCCCCACTCTGCTCAGTGAAGGGTCCCTTCATCCAAAAGTTTGAGCACCACCTTGATAAAATAAAATGCCATCGAGATGAAGACTGGGAACAATTATTTCAAGAAGCACCATCATGCTAATTTAAGTCCAGCACCAAAAATGATTCGAGATTTGTTGCCGCTGAGAAGTTTAAATAGATTCGATATACTTTCTTTCTACGGAGGAAAACTAAAGGGAGCAAACCTAACCTGCATTGGAACCTTTACTTGCTTGATGAAATTGTTAAGACGTCCAATTTTTGAGTCCACAGCTACCTGCCTTTTGTTCTTCCAGCGGTCAATATTGGATTCGTTTGTAAAGATTACCTAAATTTTGCACAAATCAAAGCCATAATAAGAAAAATAAAATGCACTGAAATTATAGTTTCTTAGAAAATAAACAATCAAAAAGCTTTCAGAACACAAAACAAAACCAGCTTAAAGCCCTCTTCATAAAGACTCTGCAGCTTCTCTGGTATTGAAGGATACATAAGGGACCAAGCATCTGCACCAACTCTGAAAAACAAATATGTTTATCAATTCAAACAAGTGAGCAGCTACTTCAATTTGGCACTTAAAGCAGAGTACTTATGATGGGGGATAACAAGGTGGCATATGGCCATTCCTACACTTGTCAGCAAAACAACCATTTTCCCTTTATTCCCCATGCCTCCTAAAGCTCTAATTCCTATTCCAAGCAAGGCAGTTATGTTGAACTGTACTCCATTGGATCAATTAGAATGCATGGGAAGGAAAAATGTTCAAAAGAGTTTAACATCGTTCAGAACCAAAACTAAGTTAAATTATGAGCATGCAAGGGAATGTCATAGAACAAAACCAGTTGAATTCAAGAATCTCATTTAACAACGATGTGAAATCAACTGATAGAAAAACAAGCATTTACTTTATTCATCCAATGCCAGTACATGCCAAATTTATGCAATGTCGAATGTAAGAATGTAGAACAACCATAACTAAATGCAAAGAAAACTGCAAACGAATTACCTTTTAACAGACGTGTTAGCCAGACAACCATCAAAATCAAAAGCAGCAATTTTACCAGAATCATGGAGACCATCATCCTGAGGAGGATAAAATGGACATGTCACCTTATCATCTTAACTGAAGTACTCCATGCAAACAATTCAATTAAAAGAAATAATGAGTCGAGAACATTCTCGACGTAAGAAGAATCTGGATATGCCCCAAAAAATCAAATAAATAAAATGATGAAAGTGAAGGACATAAATATTAAAAAAATAAAAATAGATAGATTCTGCAAGATTAGACAAATTATTAAACTTCAGCATCCACTATCATGAAAGCATTCAAGTTTTCCTTCCTTCATTTGTCAACTGTATTATGATTGGCATCTTACCCGCTCAAGAAATATAACTGTCTGGAAAGCCTTCCATTTTGGTTCTAAAGCAGCATCCTAAAGCACAGAAAAAGATACAAATAGGAAAGCCAGAAAAGTTTGCACCAAAGATGGAAACATTTGAGCTATAAATAAAATAAAATAAATCCTTAGAATATGTTAAGGTCCAAGAACATAATAATATATAACAAGCAAAACACATCATACCTTATACTTATCCTTGACATCGGAGACAGAAAAGGCTATGTCAAACTGAGATTTCTCATTCGGTGTTGACAACTAGTTGAGAGCATAAAAATTTAAAGCTGATCAGTTGATGGGATCCTCAACTACACAAATACCATGAACTCAAAAATTATATATAAGAATTAACCACACAAACTGACTCACTCTTTTTTGGTGAACCCATGCATGGTATAGTTAGTGCACAAGCAATTAGGCAGGCTTCGAATTTGGAACTAATAATAGATGATTTTCCTTTATTTATTCTTTGAGTTTCTCAACATACAAGAAATGCGATAAAAGGATAACCCACACTTACTTTCCTCCACTTCAATATCTTCTCTGTATTTATATGTTCTCTGTATAGTGAAAAGGATATGGCATAAAATATGATAGATAGATGATAATAAGTGCAATGCAAAGGTGAAAATGGAAAAGTGGTTCTACTTTTCTTCTTTTCTTTTTTGAAGGTCTCTATATCACACAAGAAAGTGGAAAGCGATACTCTTGTACCTTAATTTTCTTTGAAATGCTTTTCTCTGATTCAATTTCTTCTTCTTGTTGTTTTCTTTCCCTTTCATCTTTTCCCTGCAACTGTTAATGAAATCAATACACTAACAAAGATGAAAGTGGAAAACCATAAGTTTAATATTTTTTTTTGGGGGGGGGGGGGTTCCCCACCCTCAAAATACACCTAAAGCATCTCTTCTTCATCTCAACGAAAAAGGAAATAAGGACAACATAAAATCATATTCACATTACCAAGTGAGGACAACGTAGCAACATTTTATCAGCAACCCAATCTATGTGAAAACCATGGAAAGGCAAAACACAGGAACTGTGTATGACTACAATTACATTCCATACAAATCTAGTAAAGGTTCCAGAATTCAATTCAGGGGGGATTCCAACAGAAAGTTCCCTTTTCAAACTCGTTCTTAACTCTAGCTCATGCCAATTATATTAGGCAATATGCTGCGCGGGAAAAAGAATCAAACAAAGCTAGACTCCTCTTGGACACAATGTTTCATCATTGTTGAAGTGAAATTCGAGTAATACTTTATTAATTTTGGGTCATCTACAGCATAAACATAAATCAGACATGATTAACAACTAGTATTTTTCAAAACACACTCAACTGTGTTACGAAGTAACTAGCAAACTCTAAAATTAAACAGCAAGAGATAATCTCAGTTCAGATTTATAATCAAAACACTGAAATTTAACAAAGTACCTGCTGGGTCGACTTAGTAGACCCATCAGCCAATTTCTTTAAAGCTTCCTGGTCAACACCCTAACACCACCAACAGCAAAAATCACTTTATATATATATATATATATATATATATATAGCTGCAAGGGAAAAGGGTGAAAAAGGTTCAACCTTGAGAGAGTCAAAGCCTTTTATTCCATCAACGGAATCAATGTTTCCAGCAAAGCAATCCAAGTGATGCCATTTGGTCATGTCAAAGCCTCTAGCATCTCTAGAAACAAGGCCCAACCTCAGGGACTGAGCAGTTATGGCGCTGCCACATTTCTTGCAAGAGGACCTTCCGGACTTGGCATACTCAGCTACGATTTTGGTGGACATATTTCGCTTTTTCCAACAGTGAAAAGGAAAGTGAGAGAAAAGATGGGGGCTTTCGAGGGATTCAGGATTGGGGAAGCGGGAAAACAGAAGAGGAATTCTGGGTTTATCGAGTATTGTAAGGAATAAGGAAAGCTTAAGCATAGAAAGAGAGATGGGGTTTTATGGGGAAGAGCCGAAAATGCTTAATGGGCTCCCGCCATTTTGTGGTAGTTTCGGTGGGGAGTTGGCTCAACAGTGAAATGGATTCTGCCTTAAAAAATAAAAAGGTTGATTTGAGTTAGCTCGCCGGATTATCGTGAGCGTAAAACACAACTAATTAATATAATATTATAAAAAGTTATAATCGATTGTAATTAAAATGTTTATTTAATATGTAACTTTTCAGAATAAATTTAATAACATTTTATATTGAAATTAGAAATATTATATTCTTATTATGTAAATTATATAATTATTAGAGTTATAAATTTAAAAATTATCGTAAAAAAGTTTATGTAATCCAAATTATTATAAATTGTATAATTTTTTAGAATAGATTAAATAATATTTTAAGTTAAAACTTATAACAACGTAATATTTTTATTTGTACCCGAAATTATTATAAAATATATAGCTTTTTAGAGTAAATATGATAACATTTTAAGTTGAAAATCACTACAAATTATCTTTAGATTTTTCTGTCTCACATCAGAACTACCAATGATATATATATATATATATATATATATATAAGAAAATAACCTCAGTGACCAAAAATCTCAGATAAATAGAAAATCGAACGCGATTTTTAACTATCGCAACGCGAATTTGCGATAGTGGAGATCGCAATGCGAATTAAAGATCGCATTGCGATTTTGTTGGTCATTTTCGCAAATCCAAAAAAAGTTGGTCAAAATCGTATATTATCTGGGATTTTTGGTCACTGAGGTTATTTTCTCTATATATATATAGCTGAGATTGACTCATTGTTTCTTTTCAGTGAATATCTTCTTATTTTCTACTGTTAATCTCATCCATCTATTTTCACTCATTCAACGATCTTAAATTTGTACAAAAATGTAAGAGTTTTACATTATGTAACTGGAAGAATTTTACATTGTGTAACATGATCATATATATATAATATGGTAGTTATGTTGTGAGACATAAAAATATAAGGATAATTTGCGGTGAGTTTTAATTGAAAATGTTATTATATTTACTCTAAAAAGTTATAAATTTTGTAATAATTTTTTGTGCAAGTGAAAATGTTACATTGCTTTAAGTTTTAACTTAAAATGTTATTCTATCTATTCTAAAAAGTTACACACACATATGTATATATATATAATTTAGCACATCTCAATAGTAAAAGGAAATATTATTCTCTTCAGAAAATATAAGTTTGTGCAACCGTGTTTTTATGATGTTTGTGTTGTGTTAATAAGATAAGAAAAGTATGAATAGATACTATGTTATAATCACCAAATACTATTCCAAAAAATCTAAACTACACTCATTGTCATTAAATTATTGAGAATTTTAATTTGAGCACTGATCTTTTAATTTTTTTAATTAAACTTAAATGTTAGTAATACTTTTGCAAATTAAAAAAAAGATTTGTGATTGCAATAGAAAAGAAATAATACGTTAGTGATTACTGGTGTAGTTAACCCATAAAATAAAATAAAATAAAATGTATATTTTTATATAGATAAATTACAAGAATGATCACTTATCTTTTATATTTGTACATCTTTTCTCACCAAATACAAAAAACATATGTTTTAGTCATTCACGTTATTGTCTTATTAAGTTTTGGTCATTAGGACGTTAAATGTCGTTAGTTTAATGACGTGACATGTTCGTAAAAGAGTTTAATTTTTATTTTAACCCATATACTTTAGACAAATACTAATATGAGCCCTTTTGTAAAATCTAAAATAGTTTAGGAACAAAATTTTAATTTATCACTTTTTTAATATACTTTTCTTTCGATTCCACTTGCGTCGCACTATTCATCTTCTTCGTCGTCGATTAAACACAATGAATTGTTTGAGTTTCTTATGGAAAAAATATAACTTTAAATAATAGAACGTTCCATTGATATGTTTTCCTACTCAACGTGTAAGGAGATCGGTCGCTAATTTAATTGCATTTAACAGTGAGTGCCTGAGTGTTGTAAATTCTTATCTTCCATCAGATCATAAGTTATAGTACAAAGACTGTGTGCGTGAAATATTACCCTCCGAATGAATGACAGAGTCAAATGAAAACACATATACGCAGAGAATTTATAAATCTAATCACCGAGTAACACACATAAATGGAGGTTATAAAAAGGTTCATAATTAATATTTTATCTAAAATTTAGGGGTTAAAATAAAATTTAAACCCTTTTAATAACGTACCACATCATCAAACTAACGGCATTTAACATCCAAATGATTAAAATTTAATAAAACGATAATGTAAGTGGCAGTAACTTATTTTTTGAATTATATGGGCAAAAATGTACAAATACAAAAGAAAAGTGATCACTCTTGTAGTTTACCCTTTTTATATCACTTCTTTCAGCTTCCTCTTATAACCAGTTCCCATGTTTCACCCTTTGCTCGCCCTCCAATCAGAATTTTATTCGAAGTGATTCTAAGTGGAAGAAATTTCTATAAAAAAAAATTCCAATAAACAAAGGAAAACCCGAAAATTTATACTCGTCCTAATGAATCCATATGACGAGAAAAGGCTAAGAGACGAAGTGATCTACTTACACAATCTCTGGCACCAAGGTCCCCCTCAGAGCACTAATCAAACCCCCCAGAAGAGACCCGGACCTTCAACCCAAAACCCCACCAACAGAAGAAAGTTTGCTCATTCAGGATCCTACCCACCACCCAAACCCGACCCTGGACTCGATTGGTCAGCCCTTATGAAACCCTCATCACCTCCGTCTCCTGGATGGCCAGAACCCAAGTCTAAACCTGACCCCACCACCGTCAGGCCTGTTTCAGTTGAAGACCAAGCCAGGTTTGCCTCCATGCAAATGCAAAACAAGGTCGTTGAAAGTTGCAAAGAGTTTTTTAATAAAAGAGATCATGATGAAGAAGACAGTGATGGTGATGGTGATGGTGTTGGTGATGGTGATGAAGAAGAAAATAATGAGTTTGACTTGTTTTTGACGAATATTTTTGTGAATAACAGTGAGTTGAGGGGTTATTATGAGGAGAATCACGAGAAAGGTGAGTTCTTTTGCTTGGTTTGTGGTGGCATTGGTGAGAATTTAGGTAAGAAATTCAATGGATGTGTTGGGCTTGTACAGCATTGTATGTCGATTTCGAAAACAAAGTGTAAGACAGGCCATAGAGCTTTTGGATTGGTTGTTTGTAAAGTTCTTGGTTGGGACTGTGATAGGTTGCCTGTGATTTTGTTGAAGGGGGAGCCTTTGAGTCGTCGTTTGGCAAATTCAAGGGAATCCCAGGTAAAATTTATTTTTTTTACTTCATCTTGTTTTTTGTGTTTAATTGCATGCTAATTGTCTCAATCATGGAGCTGTATGAGCGTAGGATACATGTGAACTCTGTATATTTACACGGTATAGATGATTTGAATCGAATAATTAGTAGTAGAATTGATATTGAGAATAATCATTCCCTATGTGAACTGCTGCCAAATGTTGGATTGTGGTCATGCTTGATTAATGAGGAATTTTGTGTGATATGAGTTTAGGAATTGAATTGAATTTAAATAAGGAATTATATTCTAATTGTGTTAAGTGCAGAACACTTTAAATGGAGATGCTTCCAATAAAAATGTGGACAATCTTGAAACCGGAAGTTCAGATGGCGAAGTCCAGAAAGAAATGTCTAAATCTCTGGTAAGAGTTTATCTATAAACTTTTTCTGCTAGTATTTTTATGGACTTTTTGCAATGTTGTGATTGAAGAGATTGTTGTATGATGTGAAATAATACCAACTGCATTACGTTTAGTCGTGAGATCTTGTATCTTTTAGTTTTAAAGTTGAACAATATTCGATTCTTTTACAAATTAAATGAAAAGTATGAGGATTCTGATTTTAAAGGATATCAACTAGATGGCTTTTTTTCCTAATAACAATCATAATAATAGTTGTTACAGCATTGTAGGTGTACGGTTTCCATTTTATGGGCAACTGAGCAGTATAATTATGTATGTCAGATATGCAAACTTTTGATATTTGTAAAAATTAGTTACCAAATTACCGATATTCTAATTTTTCCACTTACCGATATTCTTTGTTGGTATACTCGATATCATCACCTTCATTTCATTCCTAAGAGCACTATAATGATGCTTCTTAACGTTCTATATGTGTTTAATCTCATGGCTAATTTGAAGAGAGGCCAATAGATGATTTGAGGATATGTGAACAGCTGGTGAAAAGCCTAGAGTTTCTCTTAGAATATTTTGAAACCAAGCCTTTTCATTAAAGTACTAAAGCCAACCTCGTTTATTCATTTCAGTCAGAGCATGTTTTGTTTGATTTTTGTCACATTGTTGTGGATTTTTGAAATGGTCCTTATCCTGACATTGCTCGTGCATTAGTTAAATTTGGTTTTTCTAGTTCATAGGTTGGCTTATGTCAAATTTTGCAGGATAAGAAGAATGATTTGAATGTAATTTCGGGTAATGTGGAGTCTGCGAATGATGATGGTAATAAATCAGTTGAAAGAGAGGTTTTTGGTATTGGCCAGAGAAATGGTGAATTGATGGTCTGTGAGGTGAGTAACGAGTATTGTGAGTGTAGGATTATTCGCTTTATCATTCGTGGAATCTTGGTAAACGAGGAATTTTCTTGTTGCTCTTTTGAGTTGCAGAATTCTTTAAAGGGGGATGATGCCAATAAAAATGTTGAAGGCCTCCAGATTTCAGATGCTAAACCAAACAAAGCAGTTGATGATATGGTTAGATAACTATTTTCTAGTAGTGTATGCATGTCCCACAAGTACTTTACCAGCAATCTCAACCTTGTTCTTCATTGCATACTACAATGAGCTATGAAAATGGTTCTCCATGATCCACAAGTATGGAAACTCGTTGTTATTAGGTGAAAAGGGGGATATGATATTATTTAGGTCCCCTAATTGTACCTCTGCTACACAACAATTTGTACAAAACATTATCCAAGTTGTTGCTTCTGCAAGTGCTTCTTTCAGATCCCCTCACTTGCACCCTTTCTTTCGAATGTTAAACTGGAAAAAGTCGGTTATCGATTTTGGTGTCATCAAAATCTTTATCTGTTTTGGAATGTGTATGATGCAGGGATCAGACTCGTCTCAGATCACTACCAGTGAATGGCCCTGCATTGAACCTGTTAATGAGTCCGCTTCAGCAACTCTGGAATGGCCCAGCTTTACGCCTTGTACTGCTCCTGTCACACACGTGGTTTCTGCTGAAGAACAGGTAAGAATCAACATGGTGCAGTTCCAGCAGAATGTCTTTGAAGCTTGCACACAATTCTTATCTACAACAGCTGAATCAGACAGTGGCGAAGATGATAACGAATTTGATGAAGATGAAAATGAAGATGATTTAATGGATGAAGATGGGTCTAAAGACAGTGAGGAGTTCAGTTTCTTTCTGAGGCTTTTCACAGAGAACAAAGGACTCCGCAATTATTATGAGACTCACTATAGAGATGGGGATTTCTTTTGTTTGGTCTGTCGCGGGATCAAGGAAAAAGCTTGGAGGACTTTTATAGACTGTGTGGGGCTTATTCAGCATTCAACTGCGATATCAAAGACAAAAAGGAAACGGGCTCATAGAGCTTTTGGGCAGGTTATTTGTAAGGTTCTTAATTGGGATATTGACCATCTTCCGTCAATCATGTTAAAGAGTGAGCCTCAGATCCATCCATTGGAAAACTCGTCACAGGTAAGTTGGTAAACCATTGATATGCAACTGAGCATTATAATTATGCATGTCAGAGATGCAAACTTTTGATAGTATGAAAATTAGTTACAAAATTACCCAAATACTAAAGTTACCCCTTACCAATATCCCTTTGCTGGTATATTCAACATCATCATCTTTATTTCATTCCTAAGAACACTATAACGATACTTCCTAACATTCTATGCGTATATAATCTCATGACTTGTTTACATGAGGATGACAATAGGTGATTTTAAGGATGCGCCAATGGTTGTGAGAAACCTAGATTTTCTCTTAGAATATTTTGAAACTAAGCCTTTTCCGTAAAGTACTAACCTCATTGATTCAAATCAGAGCATGTTTTTTTTAATAAAAAAATTATCTCATGTTGTGGCCCTTTGAAATGTATCTTATCCCGACATTATCCGCACTAGCTATTTTGGTTTCCAAGCTCAACTGTTGGCTTATGTTTAATTTTGCCCTATAGGGGGGGATGATTTGAATTTTGTTTTGGGTTATGTATAATCTGCAAATGCTAATGGTAGTGAATCAATTGAAAGAGAGGTTTCTACTATTGGTCAAGAGTAATGTTGAATTGATGGCCTGTAACACAAGTAACGCAAGTGTAGTATTTTTCACTTAATTCATGTGCACTAGTGGAATCTGAGCTAAATACGGAATTATCTATTGTTTATGTAAATTTTGCAGAATTCCTTGAATGCCGATGAAAATGTAGAAAGTCTTGGGATTTCGGATGGTGAACCAAAACCAAACAAAGGAGCACTTAATGATCTGGTGAGATAATTTCTTTCTCTTGCACTGTATCCATGCCATATAAATCACCCACGCATCCTTTACTAGCATACCACAAGGAGCTATAATAAAGCTTCTCCACGATCCACAAGCTTATAAAAACTCATTGTTATTTGGTGAAAGAAAATTGAAAATGATGCTATTAAGATGTTCTATGGAGAAAAGCCCGGGTAAGTTCGAGAGTAAGTTACCTAATCCTACCTCCGCTGCGCAACAATTCTTACAAAGCATTATCCAAGTTGTGGCTTCAACAAGTACTTTCAGATTCCCTCACTTGCACCCTTTGTTTTGAATGTTAAACTAAGGAAAGTCGGTTATCGGTTTTGGCACCATCAAAATCTTTATCTGTTTTGGAATTGTGTATGATGCAGGGATTAGACTCGTCTCAGATCACTACCAGTGAATGGCCCTGCATTGAACCTGTTAATGAGTCCACTTCAACAACTCTGGAATGGTCCAGCTTTAAGCTTTGTACTGCTCCTGTCACACGCATGGTTTCTTCTGAAGAACAGATACGAATTGACATGGTGCAGTTCCAACAGAATGTCTTTGAAGCTTGCACACAATTCTTATATACAACAGCTGAATCAGACAGTGATGAAAATGATAATGAATTTGATGAAGATAAAAACGAAGATGATTTAATGGATGAAGACGGGTCTAAAGATGGTGAGGAGTTCAGTTTCTTTCTGAGGCTTTTCGCCGAGAACAATGGACTCCGAAGTTATTACGAGACTCACTGTAGAGATGGGGATTTCTTTTGTTTGGTCTGTCGTGGGATTGGGAAGAAAGCTTGGAGGACTTTCAAAGACTGTGTGGGACTCATTCAGCATTCGACTGCGATATCAAAGACAAAAAGGAAACGAGCTCATAGAGCTTTCGGGCAGGTTATTTGTAAGGTTCTTAATTGGGATATTGACCATCTTCCATCAACCATATTAAAGAGCGAGCATCGAAGCCATTCAATGGAGGACTTGTCACAGGTAACCATCGATCTACAATACTGAAACTGCAAGTTCCCTTTATTCATTGCTAATAACAACCATAACATTGTCTGCAGAAGAATTCTTCAGAGGAAAATAACACAACCTAAAGCAGACGATAATGAGGAGGAGAATCCGAGTTTTCAAAAATCTGGGTGAAGACTATCACAATCTGAAGTAGAAGAAATGTGTTAAAATCAATTAACATTGTAGCTAGCTAGTGCAAGTGTATGATGAATTGTTTCATTTGAATGATTCCCCTTCTCCCTGGATGAAGGTGTTAACCATTATGCAAAAACTTGGATTAATTTATACATATTTAAGCAGTCTATAAATATTTGTACTTGTTGGTTTAGATATTCTACTTTAATCATTCTTAATCCCCGTTATTTTCAAAGTTTAAAATTTTGATTTTAATTTAAACAATAATTGTAAAATTTATTATATCAAATTTTGGTATTAGCCCTTATGTGTAAGTTGTAAATTTAGCTGATAAATGTCAAAATTATACTTTATGTTTTAAATGTTTAACTTTTTTTATTAAATGTTTCATCCCATCACTATTTTAGAGTTGATATGATAATTTCATATAAAAAAATTGCCGATTGAATAGTAAAAAGAATTGACTATGATAATGATAACAAAGGAAGATTCGAAGAGTACGTGGGTTAATTTATAATCTATAGATAAAGCAGGGACTAATAATAGTAATAAATAAATTACTAATAGGATAATGTTTAATTATTGTTCATATCCTTAATAATACCTATAAATAAAGGAAGCCCCTAGATATTTTTGTTGCAAACTTTATCTGACCAAAAGAAATTCTCTCTTTTGATTCTTTACTTTCCCTTTGCCTGTCCTTCTATCCGATCGAGGAACTTTAAGAGCTTACAGAAATGGCCGGAATCGGACCTTTAACTCAAGACTGGGAGCCCGTCGTCATTCGGAAGAAAGCCCCTAGCGCCGCCACCAAAAAGGATGAAAAAGTCGTCAACGCCGCCCGTCGAGCCGGTGCCGAGATCGAATCCGTCAAAAAATGTAATCTTTTTTTTCTTCTCTTTTTTACCCCTTTTTTTTTAAATAAAAGGAGAATACCTAATATAATTAGATTTTTCATTTCAATTAGGGTTTTTAGTTGATAATGAAGGATAACACAAGTATGTTTTCTTGTTGATGGGAATTTGCAGCGAATGCTGGCACAAACAAGGCAGCATCAAGTGGTACGACTTTGAATACAAGAAAGCTTGATGATGAAACTGAAAATCTTGCTCGTAAGGAATACTTTATTCCCTTTCGTTCTCTTTTTTTTTCCTATTTATTCAATTATAGCTGAATTACGTCAGAATAATAAATGATTTGTTTTTATGTATGAAATCAATTTATTGCTCACAAGAGAATAGTATTTTCAAAACTGAATTTATTGGTAATATTTTGTGTAAGAAGTAATGTAATAATTTCTTTTTGAATCTCTGTATTGGGGTGGATTTTTTTATTTCAATACATTAAACTATCCATAATCCCTGAAACCCTATATTGAAGCAATTGCGAACCCACAGCCTTCCAGACGTGCCAACCGAGCTTACGATTTAGTTGGCTGTGTTGGGGTGGATTTAAATTTTTGTATGGCAAGTGTTTGTTGATTTGAAGTATGTTTCTTCTGTAATTGACAATTTTATTAAATTTTTAGTCTTAACAGTTTAAAAATGAGTTTTTCTGTAATCTTTGTTGAGAAAAATCGAAATATAAAGGGGTGGTTTTCGAGTTTTTCGGTATGGTTGCAGTAGCAATGACTTGGTTAATACATCCTTGCATTCTTTGGAATGGTATTTTTATCATGTGCAAGTCAAATTACTTGCCCAATTTGTCCATTGCTTTGAAAGTTCAATTATGCTTTGATGATTTTATTTACATAAACTCGGTGAATATTATGTGTTTTGGTGATCTCATTCATAACAAGTGAGATGCTTTGTGACCTGAAGCTCCATTGTTTTCACTAATTTTAAACATTTATAGACCTTCAGGTTTTGATCGGTGTTTCCATTATAAATTTTGATTGGTGTTTAAACTAATGAACAGATGAACGAGTGCCAACAGAACTGAAGAAAGCTATCATGCAGGCTCGAATGGATAAGAAACTCACCCAGGCTCAACTTGCTCAGGTCTCTCTCTCTTCATCTATGCGTATGCTTATGCATATTCCCTATATTCCCTAAGTTCTTTCATTGAATCTTTCTGGTCGTCCTACAGATGATCAACGAAAAGCCTCAGATCATACAAGAGTATGAATCTGGAAAAGCTATCCCTAACCAGCAGATAATCGGTAAACTTGAGAGGGCACTTGATACGAAGCTGCGAGGGAAGAAGTGAGGAGGGCCTAATTGTAATATCAAACAGAACTCAAATTTGGTTGTTCAGTGTCCGAGTCCTTAAAACTTGTGATAGAAATAAATATTCCCGATCCGTACTATGGCTTGCATGGAATAACAGTGTCTTCAACTTTGCCCGATTACTATGATTATGAAGTTTGTGTTCTTTAATGTCACAAGGAATTATCTTTGCTGTTTATCGGTTTATGCTTTGCTTGTCCATTTAGAATGATTTACTGATCAACAGACGATGGTTTAATCAATTACAAACAGCCATAAAAATATGTCGATTTCAACAGGAACTCATCCTTTTAGGAAACCTTTTTACCGGATGCTTCTAATTTTGCCCAACTGATCCACAAACATGATCCAACTCTTACGGTGCAAAAGACCAAAATGAAGAGTTAACAACAAACAAATAGAAGTAATCAAATGCTTTTGTCGCCAATTTCCCCTAGAAACAGTATTTTTCCTAAGGAAAGGATTCATGCGCTGTTTTTCAACTAAATACTCAAACCTTGACCTCAAATTTTCTGGACATAGTAAACTGCAGAAAGTACTTGCAAGTTGATGTAAAATACACCATATTAACAGTGAGACATGTTTGCAGCCAATAATTCCGTAAACGTTATTAGCTACAAGAGAAACATGTACATGATTTGTTTTGTCTCTTTAAGCCAAGGTCGTCTAGAAGTATTGAGAGTGACATTAAAAAACAATATATTAAACATGTAGCACTACTTGTTTATATATATATAAAGTACATCAACATAAAATCACTCACAAGCCAGTTTTGTACCAAAGCTTGCAAGGCAGATGGCAAAAGCAAGAAAAGCTGACAAGGGATGCCTATAATCCATGGTGAATGTATCATCGCCTACTTTACCGAACTGGAGAACAGTTTCTTCCTCTTCTTTTCCTCCCAATTGGCTCTGCTCAACAGTTGCAGCCAGCTGAAAGTTTTTCACAGATGCTACGGTTACCCGACCGTGGAAATTCAAGCACCAGCACTGTAAATGCTCATGCCATCTTGGAGCTTTGTTCCTCAAAGTTGTATGACTGGATGCAGCATGCTCTGGCATTTTCATCTTCGTGTTATCTAGATGCTTTTCATCGACCATATCTTCGGGAAAAGGGCACTGTATCGAGCAAACCATCCTCCTGGGACCTCTTGATTTCAACAGATTGAACTTGTAAGACACTTGCCCAACCTCGAAATTCCCAGCTGGAACTTGGGGGCAGATTTGCTTGCTTGCAATTCTGCGATTTGATCTGATGCTCGAGGGCTTTGCATCACTGTGTGGTGGCTGACTATCATAGATTTTAAAGTTGGTGCCTAGAAAATCCGAACTACAAGGATTTTGAATATGCGTCAGCTAGAAACTATTAACTGAACCATAAAGATCTTTTTTTGTTGTTGCAACAGGACAATAATAAAGTAATGGCATCATAAACAATGCTCCTTGAAGATCCTGAAAAAAAATTTACGGCCTACAAAGAGAACATTTTGTTCCCTAAAAGTATACAGTTAAATGTAAATTGTACTTCTATAAAAACCATATCCACTAAGCAGATCCTGTAAACACAGTTGCAGCAAGAGATATTACAAGATTTGAGTCTTGTACCTTAACTTCCCAACATAGGCATTATTGCCTTGAGATAGTTCATTCGGATCAAGGGATATAATATACTCAATATGAGCACCATGTCGATATCTCCGTGCTGCCATGAGAAACTTCCCCTTGTCGATGAATGCTGCCAAACATAAGGAAATTAAAGAAGGTAGATTTCAACCAGTATCAAGTAGCGTCATCTTCTCAAACAATAAAAAAGTAGCGCCATTCAGTTGCTTGTTGGCCAAAAAAGGAACTGTTAAAGAGCGTCTAAACCATAGTAAAACCCTACCACAAGCTCTGAAGAACTAAAACAGAAAGACAAAAATGTCTTAGTTTTTTTTTGATAGGAATAGTAGGCCTCACTAAAAACCCCCTTCATGATTAACGGAACTTGAAAATAGTTCCTTAATCAGCGGAAGGAGGAAAAGAGTGCCCTAGGAGTTCATTAATCTTAAAACATTACAAAGTAATACAATGTCTAATCTCCCTCCAGAGATAAAAAGCCAAAAAGAACCAACCCTTAATAGAACATAATACTCAACCAATACCAGACTTAGCTAGAACATCCGCCTCTATATTGGCTGTTCTACTAACCCATCTAATAAGACCTTCATAAACGACAAAAATGTCTTAGTTTATGAACAAAAGATACGTAAGGTGTAAAACCAAAAGGAAAACAAGATATTAAACTCAGTAGTAAGGCAACCACCAGAGCACCATTAGTAAAAAATTAGCTGACACTTTTTCCCATATGTAATGGGGTAAGGGGGAGGTATGATAGTAGGCTGCCCCCAACGCCAGGTTGAGAGCAACCACCAGAGCACCATTAGTAAGTGAATTGTTAAATATATAACTCATGTTTTCCCAAATTTGATGCTTCCAGAAAGAAAATATCACTAGTTTGCATCTCCTAAGATGGGAAGTCATTGAGAGAGAGAGAGAGAGAGAGGCACAGAGGTTACATAATCAGATCCTTATGACCTGAGCAATAGCTTCATATGCCTGTGTCACAGCAACATACGCAACACAGATATCAACCTGTCATCATGTCGAATATAATGCCACCACACCTAAAGACTAGTGAGACCAGAAACTCATGTCAAAATTTTTACCGACCTGTATCTTCTCTCTCAGAAGCTACACCAATGATTTTGCTATGCTTATTACAAGACTATTCCGGAAAACAAAACAATATTATTAAAAAAGAAAATCCTGACTGCATGTAGCAATGAGTCCTCAGTGGCTCACTGTAATTGCAATATTGCATACGGATTAGAAGTACTATTAGTCAACAAAAAGAACAATGCACGGGAGATGTCTCCACACCCATCAAAGACTGGATAAAAGACAGTATGAATAAGTTGTAGTAAAACAACAGCAGCAAGTTAGCAACTACCACCATATATCATTCTAAAAGATTATGGTGGGTAGCCCGATATCATCACATTAAAAAGCCCAACCTAAGATGATAATGTGTCATGTATAGAATAGAGACAGGCCCGGAGTAAATTTCATTGCCCTTTTGAAGTCAATGGGTGTGTAAGACCATTAAGCAAACTGATCATAATTGTCTAAACAATTATAGAGATTTTGAAAGGTTAAAACCAACTCAAACTGACTTGGTCAAAGGTATTAGATTTGAAGACCACAGGTTTGCACCTACCTAGATTGAAGTCAATAGTCAATTTAAAAGCTTTGAAAAAGCGGATGTCCCTTTTAACCCTTTTTTCAGCATGTACAGTCTAATTAAATTGTTCTCGTCCTGTTTTGCTTGTGATAAAGAAAGATACTTACATGGTGAAAGACCAAGATAAAGGAAGAACATTGAGTTTTTTTTGTTCCGCTTTATAATACACTGGTTTGGAAACTCCCATGGACCAGGCTGCATTAACAAAAGGGAATAAAACCATTAGCGCAAAACTTGCAAACGTATTAATAGATTGACAACTCTAAATCTTAAATGCATTTTATATTCATAACCAGCAACCACAGACCAGTTCAAATTCTGAAAACTCCACTCCAAACTAATAGCAATAAGCGAAATCGCATGAAGATGACAAAAGAAATAAATTACTTTCTTTTTGTGTTCTCAATTTTTCTAATTTGAAACAAATTATTGTCTGATAATTACCAGTTCTCAAAAAACAAACTTAACCCTCACAGAATAACTTCCAATTGCCAAAATATGTTAGAAAAAGGTCATTTGATTCGAATTTTGAATCTCTATACCTAGTATAGTTCTCCAAAATAACCCAATATAAAAGAAGAAGCTCAAAGTAATTCCCTAAATTAAATACCAATAACAAAATGCATCTATCAATAAGAACTATCAGTAAAGGACATTGCCATATACTAGAACAAAAACAAACTAACACCAAAAAGAGTAATTTTACACCAATTCCCTAAAAAATATCCCAATTCGCAAACATTCAAAATCCTCAAATTTGGGATTAAAAAATCATAAAAAAAAATTAAATTACCCTAAACTAAAGATATTTTTAACCTTAATGAAATTTATAAATACCACCTTAAAACATTAATATCATGTTATGAAATTATATCTCAATTTCTCAATTTCAATGAAAAATGAAACTTTTTTTTTTGAATTGCCTGCTTAAGACATGAAGGGAAAGTGATTTTGCCGCTATTTAGAGAAGAAGCCTTAACGATCTCTCTCGTAACTTCTCTCCACTTCTTACAAACGCAAGCGCACGCAACAACGTTCTTCCTTTCGGGCCACATTTCTTCACTCGCTTCCACGCGCTCCATGATCTCAACTAACAGCTCCGGAAGCAACGTCGACCACGAATCCCCTCCATCCTCCGGAGAATACGGCGACGAATCAGAAGACCCCGGCTGATCCCCCCTGGTCCAGACTGTTGTTGACGCCGCCTTTTTGGCCGATAGTCTTAATGACCTCGATAATCTCCGTGAAAGGCACGAGGTTTTCCTAAACGACGACGGAGACGACATCGTTTCAAAAACTTCAAAAAGAAATTTCCTTTAGATGAAATTTGGTTTGAGAGAAGAGATTCAGAAGGGGGTTATATGAGAAGAAAATGTACAAAAAAAGGATGAAGAAAATTCCGGTTGGAAGAATGACAGAGCGGTGACAAAAAACAGAGAAGGCCATATAAGAACGGGAATTATTGAGACGTGGCAATAATTATTGGTGGTGATGAAGTTGAGTTTGGGGAGAGTGGGATTTATTTTAATTCTTGACTCGGTTGCTTTGAATCGATAATCCTAAACTGTCATTTATTTCTATTTTTTTAATTTTTCAAAACAAAAAGGAAAATCAATTTTATATCAAATTTAGAGTAAGAAATTAATTTTTATTTTGAAATAACAAATAATATTTTTTTAAAATCAAATCAATTTCACTACCCGTCAGTTATTAGAAAAGATTAAAACAACGGGTTTTAAGTTTTTCTATGGCAAGATGAAATCATAGTGCACACCTACATTGTGTTGGATAAGGATCCTTTGGCTGCTTATTGTGAAATCAGTTCTGGGTATTCTCTGAGGAGGAAATTTCCTTTTGAATCCGGGTGTTGTGACTTTCAAGGTCAAGCATGTTGGGGTCGACTTTGGTTCAGCTTTTAATGTCGTCGAGAGACAAGTTTTTGGGAAGAGGATAAAGCTTTGTTTTCATAGTCGGGGTGGAAGGCCAAATGCTAGAAGCAGCCTCCGTGTTCTTTATGGAGGTGGAGGCGGAGTGTATTCGGAGGGTCTTAGGTGTTGCCAATGAAGCGGAGATGAATTTAGCATTTGCTGATGCTTTGGGAGTAGTATTTGCAGGGCTGAGAAGCGTTACAACTCACAGGTTGGATTCTTAGTGAAACTGTTTAGTTGCAGGTTGGGGTTTGGGTGATTTTCCTTTGTCGTTGTTTTGATTCTAGTTATGATTGATGTTGTGAGTTATCTGGAAGAAGCTGTTCGTGGTGCTTTATTCAGTTTTCTGCTGCTGTGTATAGCTGATTTGGGTTAGCTGGGCAGTATGTGTTGTAGTTAAGTGAGTTCTCGAGGTCTCAGTGCTTGGTTTCTTTTAAGCTATGGTTGCTGTGGTTGCCAAGTTGGAGGTGGTGTTTCGTTCCATGGCTTGCTGTTTGTGATTGTCTTCTTCTCAGGTCTCTATTTCTTTTCATGATTTGTGTGGGTTGACGTTCATATGTACTGCCGGGGTGGTTGTTGGGTTGGGGCTTGATTTATGTGATGTTAATTTTTGTGTTCTTACGACCTCAAGGTACACTATTTTTTCTCCGTTTAAGATTAGGGAGGTTTTTTAATGAGATAGGTGGTGTATTTGTCTTCGTTTATAATACAAAAAAAAATAGTGCACACCTACATTATAATGGGTCAAGTTAAGTCGGATCTAAGTTTTGTTTGTTCAATTAATTTTAATCAAAATATAATTACTGGATTTGATCTAAGTTTAAGAAAATTTATTCAATTTTAAAATTTGACTAGATTCTTTAATAGAAAACATGCATCCAATTTGACTTTATATATATATCTAGTTTTTGTTTTTATTAGATAAAATAAAAATCTAATTAAAAAACAAGATAGTAACATTATAACAATTATTTCTAAATATATAAAAGTTAGTATTCTATTATTTTCAAATCATGTTGATTATTTTTTACCTTAAACTAAAATTCGACCGAACATGATTTTATCGTTTAAAAAAATTAACCCAATTTGATCGAAAACTAATTTTTTAAAAAAAACTAATTAATCATTCTTTTGAAAGACTTAATTACCAAAGCTTTAAATATTATAAAAATGGCAAAACTCTTAGTTTTATAATTTTTTAGGACTATTGGATGAGAGAAATCAAAGGCTGAGACTAACAGTAAGAAATAAGAAGATATTTGCTACAAAAAAAATGAGTTAATCTCAGTCTTCGGCTTTCTTCATCCAATGGTCCTAACAAGGTGTAAAACTAAGAGTTTTATGCTGGGTGTAAGTGGATCCTAACTCTATATATATGAGTTAGGATTTTTACACCTTTTTAGGACTGTTGGATGAGAGAAATCAAAGGCTGAGATTAACTCATTGTTTTTTTTCCCTAGTGAATATCTTCTCATTTCTTATTATTAATCTTAGCATTTGATTTCCCTCATCCAACGGTTCTGAAAAGATGTAAAACTCTTAGATTTACACTGAGTGTAATTGGATCTTACCCTATATATATATATAACTTTTTGGTTTACACTTTTTTAGGATCGTTGAATGTAAAAAAATCAAATACTGAGATTAATAGTAGGAAATGAAAAGATATTCAATGAAAAAAGACAAGAAATTAATCTCAGCCTTTGAATTCTTCTCATCCAACTATCTTTAAAAAACTATAAAACTACCGTTTTATGATATATCTATATATATAGAATAATAACTCCAATCATGGCATAGATTAATGGATAAAGTAAAGTTGTTCAAAGGCAATTAAACAAACAAATTTAAGTTCAGGCAGATCTTATAATGAAAGCCTTTTTAATTCAACCACATGCATATTTATGGATATGATGTATATGATTTAATATAAAAGTAAAATGATCTTATAAAATCCGTAGCCATTTATTCACTTAAGCAGCTGATGGAATGGCTCAGTTGAGTCCTGCATACGAAAATCGAAGAAAAAAATAAACAAAAAAGGAACGCAGTGGATCAGCACAACATTGGAGCAGCTCATGCATGTTCAACGAATGAATGTTTATATATCCACAGAAGTACTTACATCACCGATCTTAGGTTGATTATCGGTCTCCAACATCAGTCCAAAATGAATGTGAGGGAATCGAGCCCACTATAGTTGAAAAAACAAATGTTTGAATAGGAGACAATTACATGCTTAAATGTGTTCGAACTCATAACTTTCAGGACATTGCGATAGTAAAGATGTCAACCGAATAAAAACTCCATCGATCATGCGATATCAAACTTACATTCTTAGCAGCAGTGCTGAAAGCCTCCCTGTGAGTGATATCAGGATTGTTCAGCTTGATCCTTTGAATCTCCTCTCTATCAAGATACCACATTTTCTTTAGTTTATAATTATGTGTTAATCGCAACAAAATCAGAGCAAGTGATAATCAAATTACTTGATGAACTGGTTGTACAATGAAGGAGCCCTGTGTCTCTTGTCAGGAGCTGCAAAAAAGAATGGGAAATCGCAGTCCATGAAATGTACGATAAAATATAAACCCTAAACCCTAAATCTAAAATCCGAGAGTTATTAAAATGAACTAAACGCAAAAAATACTCACGTCGATTGACAACCCGTTCTGGAATGGTGGTATTTAAATTTAGTGGTCGATTTGGTAGTTGTTTGTTCTTGCATCTGGAGGAGGACCCTGACTCAATTCTGTAGTCCGATGAGGTGTAGCTAGACACCTAAAACATTCAATAAATCAGTACAGGTTAATTCAGTTTGGGATCGATAAAATTCGATTAATACTTTCTGATTAGATGAATAATACGATTAATACTCGTAAATTAGAACCAACAAGTTTAATATCATTACTTTTATACGTCGATTCAATTCGATCAATGATTATATAATTAGTTGAATAATTCATTTGATTAAGTTCTTAATTACATTAATCGAAATTCATCAATATATTTAATCAATGTATTGTCATTGCTTTCGTACAAGTGATTAGATCGCATTTGTAATTAGAGGGTACTTAATTGTATAGTTCGTTATATTAAATGCATAATGTATTATATTATGTTTATTTTTATAATTATAAGATTCTATGATTGTATGGTCCGTTAGATTATATTTTTACTTAGAGTAATTAATTGATTTGGTGGATAATTCATTTTATTATATTCATAGATGTTAATCTAATATATTTTAATTGATCTGAAGTATAAATATAATATAATAAATTATAATTTTAATCTAATAAATTATACAATTAGTCGTCTAATTATGAATACAATATAATAGTAGTACAATTAATTAATACTTATTTAATAAATTACACATTTAATCTAATAATTACATGAACTATCATTAAACTTAGGAAGTTTTAATTATAACCATTGATTAGTTTCAATTAATATAATTACAAACTTATTGATCTCAATCTACGAGTATCGATCGATTTCACATAATCATAAAATATTAAAAGAAATTAGGGTAAAGTACACAAATGGTCCCCAATTGTAGGATGTTGCTTTATTAAGTCTCCTGACTATAGGATGTTGTTTTATTAAATCTCCGACCATAGGGCGTTGTTTTATTAAATCTCATGGCTATTACAAATTACCAAATAGTCCTCCGACTATAGGATGTTTTTTTTGTTAAGTCACTTGACTATTAAATATAATAAAATAGTTATTCAACCATTCATATGTTCCAAATTGTCATTTTTCATTAAAAAAATTAACGTCAATCTCAGTTGGATATTAACATGTTGACTGGTATATGATAATCGTTTGAGTTTCTACGATCATATTTTATCATATCCTACTCAACAGGTTAACACCCACCTCAGACTGTCGTCAATTTTTTAATGGAAAATGATGTGTTTAGAACATATTAATAGTTGAGTGATTATTTTGTAATTTTTAATTGTAGGAGAACTCAATAAAGCAACACTCAATAATTGAAGGATCATTCTATAACTTTTAATAGTCGTGACTCAATAAAACAATGTGCTATAGTTAGAAGATCATTTGTGTACTTTATCCAAGAAATTGTTATATTATGCATACGATATTTTAGTGTATTATTATATTATTGTATATATTATAATTTAACATGTAAGTGATTACATTATAATATAACATAAATATCAGTTGAATTTAATGAAAATATGTATATGATATATGAGAGAGAATATAAATAAAAAATGAGTTTTCAAATTTAAAAATCAAAATTAGCCTGTACGAAAAACTTTTTCAATAACAAATTGTAGTGCTCAAAACCTATAAGCCCTAGAATTTTTGTCAGTCAAAATCAAAGTGAAAACATTTTAGAATTGAGGCAAAATTATGAAGAAGTGGGAAACCCTAGAACTTTGTTTTTCCCTAATTAGCCAACTTAGAGCAGCTCCTAGGGTTTTTGCAGTGATCTGATAAGAAAGATGCTCTGAAAATCAACTACTTTGCCCGAGATAAACGAGGGCTTGGAAACCCTATATTTTCATGCCCCCAAGGAAAATCTATAAAAATTTTCTCGGAAAGAGATAAAATCCCAGAAACCTTGGATCTACAAGGAAAAAAAATCAGGATCCGAACCTGGATATCTTTTCCGGCCCTCGATTGAAACGAAGCTGCCATGTTTACTGAACACAGATTGGAGCACTGCCCACATCGGACTGTTACCGTTTCAAATAAGCTGCTGCATGGAACATTCACCTGCTCAAGAATCATGGAGAAGATTTTAGCTTCAAAGATTCAGGATTTTCTTTTTAAACTCCCCCCAAAAATCAATAACAGAAGAAGATAAAGCTTTTTTGGAAGTTTGTGAAGCTTTTTCTTCCCTAAAATACCAGTCAGTAAACAAAATCTAGAGCTTTGTTTGATGCATTGATTTTTTTTTTCTTTTAGGGCAGGCATCACTCAAAACATCTTTCCTACATGAAAATGGGGTTTTGAGGAAGACGACATAACTAGTCTCTTTCATTTTCCAAAGGAAAAGAAAAAAGAAGCTTTTCGGCTTTGCAAAAAGAAAAACTATCATCACATGCTTGGTTTCTCTAAATCGTCTTTCAAAAAAATGAATTTAAGATACATAATTTCAATAACTTCTCTGAGATCAGAGGGTAAGATCTGCAAAAGAGAGGGAAATCAAGAGAGTTTATGACTTTTTCTGCAGAAGAATGAGAAAAGAAGTCTGGGGATAGTGACCTGACTTCATTACAAGAAAACCCTAAAATTAATATTCTCTTGTGAAGCTTATGAACACAGAAAATGAAATAAACTTATTTTGTGAGGAAAGGAGATTAAAGACTGGAAAAGCAACTTTGGTTTATTCATCTATACATATACTGAACCGACTGAAGGCCTAGCATTATGTTTTGCAGTAACAGAAGCTGACATGATGGTGATGATGTGTATGTACGAGATTAAATACATATATACTATATATATACACACAAACATTAAATAAGAAGAGAAAAAAGGTTTAGGATCAAGATTAAATACCGCAAGAATGATGTTGCAAAGGTTGCAAGGGATGTAGCAGAGTTGTTCTGGTACAGAATTGGTGGAGCTTGACATGTTTTTTATTTTATTTTCTCTGATACTTAACAGTATTTTAAAGGAATTTTTTTTTTTTTTGCTTTGAATCAAAGTTAAGGCAAAGAACAGAGAGAGAAACTTGATGAGGAGAACAACAAACCAAACACAGACAATAACTTATTTAAGAAACGCAACGTACATATTTAATTATGATCAATACATCAAACAAACGCAAAAATAATATCAACGAGAAAGAAGAAAAGGGGAAAAAAGCTGAAATCGAAGAAACTATGAACAAAGAAGGTAAAGGCAGCAGGCTGAGAAAAACGTGGGATTTATAGTGCCATGGCAGGCAGTCACTCGTTAATATATTTTCCAACACATCACAGTCAGACACTCAAACACCCACTCTGAATAAAGAGAAATGGAGAATGGGGGCCATGGGAAAAGCAGACCAAAGAATGTGGAGTTAGAGTTAGAAATCTAACAAGGAAAGGGAAAAGGGTAGATTCAACTTACAACTCGAAGGTGTTTTCTGGTTTTTCTTTCACTTATTCTTCTGCAAAAACTACAATGGAAATATACTTGAATGAGAAACCATTGAGAATGTTTTCCTTGTTTATAATGAAGGAAATGACATGAATTATTCTTGACAAAAATCATGGGGGCTTTGGATTTGATTAATTGATTCAGAAGACATATTCACAAAACACATGCAAATGTTGTAATATTTAGGGGATATGGTTACTTTATTCGAGAATATAAAGTGTTTCAAAGTGTCCCATACAAGGTATTGACGGAATACCAATGGACCCTGTTCTAATTGTCACCATAAGAATATGACTTAGTTCACTTCATAAGTATTAAAATTCGAGTCTCATCAATAATTTATTTGATATATGATCTAATTGTATCACTTTTAATTCTTTACGAAATCGACGGCTACTTCCGTCATTTTCGATCCCGATATTTATACAGTTCAGCTATTTACTCCGAACTATAAAAGAAAAGGAGGGTTTAGTGTCTCAGACTGGGAATCCTGAGGAACATGAACGGCTGACAAACAAACAAATGTGCATACTTTGAGGATACCATACCAACATCATGGTTTTTATTTATACAAAAGAGTACACGAGAAACATATTACCAAGCTTAGTTATCTTGTCTACTTCTCATTCGTCCAACAATTTATAATACCCAAGTGAAAGAAGAGATAACTATGAGATCTAGTGTAGTAGTAGCTTATTTGGTATCTTATTCATGTATAAAGGGTTCAAATATCCACACTCAACTGCTTCTGCGTATCAAATTCAGTTACATTAAGTTTCTTATCGATGATGTTGAATTCGAAACATTGAACATTTGAAAATTGAAACTATATCAGAATGAAAAGATTAACAAATAAAAAGGTCTTGTTTATTTTTACAATAATATATCAATAATTCCATATACACTTGATTGGACTCATATTCAACTCAACCCAGAATGACCCAAATATTCAAAGGGTGATCCGACCTGAAAACTAATAGATCTGATATGAACATGATTTGTCGACCTGAATTTATATTGACCTAATCGGATATTCAACTCAATTCGACCTACTATAAACTCGAACTAAATTCAAATTAGGTTCAATCTGACTCGAATCGAAATCTAATCCAAATAGCCCAATTTTAACCTTTAAGCAAAATACGAAAGAATTCGAATTTTGTCAACCCAAACCATCGCGGTAATGTCATCATTAGACATGTATTAATCAACAGTTTGGAGGGCAGAGAAAGAAATGTAAGGGATTGAATCATTTCCAAGAAGCTTAGATAAAAGGTTGAATTAATTAATGCTATTGCTATGAACAAATAAAGATGTAATTAGTGCTATGTCAATATATCTCCAAACCAGTGAATTTGAATTCAGTTATCATTGTTTAAGCCTATAAACACAAAACTAAAGAAGAAAGAAAAAGCAAGCGGAAGAAAAGGGAAGAAACACCAAACCAAAGAAGAAAAAGGACCAATAAAAGAAAGTTGTGTGTATAGATATAATATTGAAATCACCTTTTAATAGTTGATAAAATAGTAATATTGATATCTATTTTTATTTTGAATTATTAATATGTTATTTTTGCTTAAAATGATTTTGTTGGGTGAAAATTGTTAATTAGCTAACTATCAATGTTGGTTGATAATGTGATATTTTCACATATGATTAATTTTCTTTTTAAATAATATGAGGTGGTTATAAAATAATATATGTTTAAATATTTTCACATATATTCAATTATTGATGTGACGTATATCACATGTAATTAGGTGTTATATAATATATGTTATGTGTGTTTAAGTATTGTCACGATATATATCATATCATCTATTAAATATATGTAAATAAATTACATTAACAACGAGTATTCATCATTTTTTGGTATAACAAAAAATATTCAATTTATTAATTAATTAATCTAGATTGGATACTAAAGAGGTAAGAGCGACCCTCTCAACTCAATTTGTTTCATTCATGAACATAAAATTCAAACCACTGACCTTGCTTAAGTAATTTAATATCTCATCTTAATAGACCAATAGGTTGTTGGTATGAGTATTCATCATTTGTTAATTAATAATTTTCATCTAAAAAAACATAATTTTAATATAAAATAAAATATTAAAAATTAAAATACTCTTAAAAAGTACAAAAATAAAATCATTATAAAAAATAAAAAAATAAATTTATTACACGTGTATATATAATCTGTGATAGAATCCTTCGTGATATGTACCAATGGGATTTGAGAATTAGGTCAGACCTCACCTCATGAAAACGAATCATACAACCTACTAAATCTAAGCCATCAACTCAACGAACAAAAACATTTGCAAAAAATATTCTAATGCGTCTCACGGGACTCGAATACTTAATAATAATAATAATAATAATAATAATAATAATAATAATAATAATAATAATAATAATAATAATAATAATAAAACACATTAAAAAAATCTAGTTAGGTCAAAACCCATTAATAAAAAAGAACAAAATTTTAAAAATGTCTATAATACAAGTTAATTGTATATGGTCAAAAGAATTAAGGTTCATTGACATAAAATCATATGGTTCCCTTCCCACATTCCAAAAATCAATATGATTGTTTGGATGGCCATCCTAGATAGACTTCTAACTCGGGAAAGACTGTCTCGGATGGGATTTGTTCTTGATCAGAGCTGCGTGTTATGTAATGAGACCATTGAAACAAGGGATCACCTTTTTGTTGAGTGCAGCTTTGCCAAAACCCTATGGAGTTTCATTCTCAATCTAACTCACCTGAGCGTAACTCACATGACTTGGGGATAAATGATTAATTGGGCGTCAAACAATTGGAAAGGTAAATCACCCCTTTCAACTATAATGAAACTTGCTTAGACCTCGTCCATCTATCTGTTAAGGGAGGAGAGGAATAGAAGAATTTTTCGCCGAGGATCAAGAGATGCTGAACAAATTCTGTCTACCATCAAAGAGTTTGTCTGAATCCAACTTAGAGGCAAAAATATTAATAGAATAGATAATGTTAATTGTAATTTATGCTATAATTGGGGTATAGTTTAACCATTTTTTGTTGTAAGTATTGGTTTTCCTTCCTTTTGGGTTTGTTGTAGCTACATTGCTATTTGGATAATGAAAGTTAACTTTTTCAAAAAAAAAATATGACAAATGGTCATGTATGAAGAACAGGTACTGGTCATATATGTACAGTTATTTTCATTATGTTTAAAAGAAGATAAGATGAAAGCTTTAGATTTGCAGGGGCTAAGAAGAGGTAGCTTGGATACATGCATGAAGATGGAGGAAATGCACTTTGGATAAAGCGCAAAGGGGAGGGTGAATAAGAACCACAACAACAAAGGAGAGTTGTTTGGAGAAATATAGCAAAGAAATTATTATGAGATTGAAGGTATAATTGGTAAAGGAAAAAGTAGGTGCGGGAGCAATGATTGTGATTGTACAGTGGGAGATGCTGAGTTCTGGTTTTCTGAATGGGAGCCTCGTTTCCATCAATAAGCTCACGTCTAGTGGCTTTCGTTGCTAAATTTAGAGGAGAGTTTGGTAACTTTAGTTAAGGGCTTGCTTGTTCTATTATAATAAAGTTATACAGCTCAACTATCAAGAACCTCAAGGGTAAATTATTCTCTTTAAAGATACTAGTTTCAAATAATTATACACGTAGAATACGTATACATTGTCAATTTGTTAAAAAATATGTTTAGATATTTTTTTTTATTTTTAGAATCAAACTAAATCCATCTCATTGTAATTTTGCCAACCCTAAAAAGAAACTGCTACAACGAAGTCTAGAGTTATAATAACAATTAATTTTACACGTAGCTTTTATAAGTGTTTAGAACTTTTATATAAAAGATTCACTAAAAAAGTCTTGAAAAATATTAATTTGTTCGAGTTTAAAATTAAGAGGAACTGAAAGAGTATTTAAATTAAAATATTTAAGTCAATTATAATAACTTCAATGTTCTGAATCAAAACGTTAAATTTTCAAACATACATGAACTAAAATGATTCTTTTTACAGTGAAGGGATTAAAATAAAATTTTAAGTAAAATATATGGACTAAAATATTTATTTTTATAATATAAAGATTACAATAAACTTATAATTATACTATAGGGATTTTTTTAAATAGTTTAACCAAATTTCAGCGTTCGTTAATTAACTGCGAATCCAAGCTCAATTAACTTTTCACAGTTTTTTTATTATTATTTCTGATTATGTATCAGATTTTGACCAAAAGACGCTAAGAATCATTGTACTGCAAGTGCAAACCAAGCCGAACAACTTTTGCATCGCAAATTCTGAGTACGGCAAATTCTTTCCTTATTTGTATATATATTAAAGAGGGAGACGAGAAATGAATGAATTAATTAATTTTAAATAAATATGGGTTTCATCCGTCATTTTCGATCCCAATGTCTGTACAGTTCATTGATTCACTCTGAACTATAAAAGGAAAAAGGGGCTTAGTGTATCAGACTGGGAATCCTGAGGGAGATGAACGGCAGACAGACAAAGAAATGTACATACCAACATCATGATTTTCAATTTTGTTGGTTAATTAATTAGGTCAAAGCCCTGAGTAAAAAAATAAATTTAAGAAAAAAGGCCATAATATTATTTTAATTAGTCCAAGGTCTACAGGTGTTGTTTATGAATGAAGAATCCAAGGAGTTTCCAATAGATAAACTAGTTTCTTCGTTACATGATAACCATAGGTTTATTGTCTAATCAGGAATTACCGCATAATATTAAGATTAAAGTAAGTAAAAAATCTTCAAGATAAAACAAGTTCATTGAATGCCATAACACTGCTGGAATCAATATTACAACAGCTGTTAGAACAATATAGACGATTAATGGAGGAAATATACTGAGCCTTATGAAGAGCATGCACGATAATGGAGGAAAAACACTGTGGATAAAAATCAAAGGAGAGTGAATGTGAACCACAACAACGAAGAGTGGGTTGGAGAAATATAGCAACCAAATTATTACGAGAAATATAGGAAATGTATCAATTGTTTCAAAATATAAATATGTTGTTGAAAAGTTATTTCCCAAAAATCAACTTTGTATTAATAAATATAGCATAGAGATAGACAATTAAGGTTGTAAATGAGAGGAGACAAATCGCGAGCTACTCAAGATGACTCAATCAAGGCTCGATAAATACTCGGATCGAATGGACTCGGCTCGACTCGAGCTCAACTCAAGTTCTTAACGAGCCGAAACGAGTTACTTGATATTCGACTCGAAAAGCTCATGAGCAGCTCAAAAATATAATATATTAAGATTTTATTTTCTTTAAAAATAAATTATTAATAACATTAACATTTATGTATTGATTTTTTTTTTAAAAATACAGTAAGATTTTCGTGTATTTAAGGTTCAGGTTCGAGTTTGAATTTGAGGCTTCAATCGAGTTAAGTTTAAGATTTTTTTTCATTTCGAGCCTTTTCGAGCTGCTCACGAGCTTCAGTTCAAGATTTCGAGTTCGAGTCGAGCTTGAAAATTTTAAGCTAACGAGTTTTCGAGTCGAGTCGAGCTCAGCAATATTCGAGCTCGACTCGGCTCCTTTACACCCCTAATGACAATGATTGAGGCAATGTTTCACTAAAGTCTAGCATACAGACTCAATACTCACAAAACAACATTCACTTTTGTCTCTAAAAATGGTGAGTGCCACTACTGTCCTTTTACATGTAACTTAGCTTCAATTATGGAAGGTAAATATTAACCATTTCAGTCTACGGAGGCTGTTGCAACCAAGAAAATAGTAAGTAGACAAAGGCAGGTTACGGAACCGATAAAAGAATGAACCAGAAGCCAGAAGGGAGAACAGTAGAGCACCACAAGCATATTATGCTTGGTCAGTCCGCAATTTAAAATTTACTTTCAGCTCCGCGTTCCGGAACTTTATGATCATATTTCAATAAATTTTGGCTTAAAATGAATCTTCTACTTGAAAAACTAGATTAGAGAAACCTAATTCCAGATTAGAGAAAACAGTAGAGTCCATGATGAACATCAAAAGCCAGCCATCGCAAAGGAAAATGGCGTACACAAGGATATGCTCATTAGGAAGGAGCCATGAAAGAGAAAAACAACCACGCATCTACCTCTAATGTGATTGATTTTAAAAACATTAATCACAGATGTCACAAGCAATTGCAAATTCAGACATTAAGGCTTCTGCTTGGTTGAGTGGAAAAATGAAAGGATTGAAGGAGGTAGAGGAAAAGTGGAAAGTAAACAAAGTTTGAGTGTGCTTGGTAGTAAAGAGAAGTGAGAGCAAGGAAAAAAAGTATGATGATCATTTTCTATACTTTTGTGTATAACAAATCACCCCACTTCGGAAGGAAAAGATGAGAGAAAATGTGAGGTAGTTCAAAAAATGTATTTTTCAATTTCCTCTCATTTTCAACTCTACCAAGCAATGATCGGAAAGAAAATAGCATTTTCTTTCAATTTTTCCATCCTTCCTATCGAGCACATCATAAGTGAGGCCAAATACCATAGAAAGTAATGGTAATGGAATCGGTTATTTTAGGATCGTTTTTCTTATTTACTTCTACACAACTTCTTCATAGTCTAATTTACTTCAAGTTTTGTCATCCAATCAAACTTATCAGATTCAATTAACAAACAACGTCACAATGATGCATGGAACCAAGGCAGAAGAAAATAGAGAAATAGTATCCAAAATGGATTTCTAAATTGTACTTCCCAAAGATATCTGCCATTTCATCCCTTCACTATGCTCTATATATAGTAGTTCTATAAATCACTAAATCTCCCAGTTTTCACCCAATGAGCTTGTTGATTCTCTTCATCGACACCTGCAATCAACCGGTAATGACATCTTCTATGTGCATTCCTCATCCCTAAGTATAACTTCAATTCACATTTTTGTGGATTGCCCCTTATGCTAGGTCTATCTGGTTCTTTACACGTTACAAGAGAAAGCTTTGTTTACAAATCCATTCCTAGACTCAAAATTTCACCAATTTTTGGCCCCTAAAAAGTATTCCTAAACATAAGGGATAAAGTATTGCACGCAATTTTTTTTTTTTTTGTAAGACGATACTTTGTATTATACTAATGCAAAGTAAACCACCTCAAGGCCCTCATTAAAAAACCTCCCTAATCCTAAATGGAGGAAAAAGAGTGAACCTAGAGGTGGAAGGGATCATATACAATGAACCACAAGAAGACTCACCCAAACACACATACAATCCAATCAGCTTAAAGAAATAAGAACAGAAAGGACAACCAAACTGAATTACAAAACAGAACAGCATCAATGGTGGTGACCGAACAGCAGCAGGAACCAGTAACACTCGACCTGATAAACACTACAAGACACCAAGGCTTCATCGATCTTCAACAAACAAGAGACTACCCCGTAAACACTCCTAAAAAACAGCCAAAAACAGTCTGCCTTGAGCTGCAAAGCTTACAGAAACGCATAACCCTCAGTAAAATCACACTATCCCAACATCATAGCCCAGGTGCACCCCACTAACATCAATCCCAACCCTCAGTATTGCACGCAAAATTCAATTTAATATAAAAATAATATCATTAGAATAAGGGGGGAAAATCCAAAACTAAAGTAATGAAGTGAACAACATTATCATCGTTATTTGCTACAGAAATTTCTCCTTTCCTTTTGTCAAAATAAAAAACCTGGGAGAGTATTTGGTGGATTTATTAGCAGCAGTGTTAGAGCTTAAAATTTCCGGTTTCTGATAAACTCCTTGCTGTTGCTGGGCCTGTTTCCGCTCTATCTCTCGCCATTTATTGATTCCGATTGTAAAGAGAACTGTTGCAAAAAAAAACCAATAAATAAATAATCGAATTAAAAAATTTAGATAAAAAGAGATTGGGCGAAGTTATTTACATCCAGCGCCGAAGAAGATGAGGAGGCGGAGGACTTTAGGTCCGGGCGGACCCGCCGCTTCTTCTGCCGTCATTTCCACTCTTTCCTTACCGGGACGCACTGATATATTTAGCTGCTTATGGGAACAATCAGTGGTCAGCTCAGCTGAGAGAACGTCGGTATTTGAGAAGAAAAGAAGTTAAAATACAGTACTGGTCACTCAATTATTAATATAATTATATATAAATCATTAAATTAAACAAAATACAATTACTATAAACATAAGACTTTGCCGTTAAGTATACATGAGGAATTAATTTTATATTTATAACTGAATGATTAAATTGTTATAATTGATAAATTAAGTAGCCTCATTATAATAAAAAATTAAATTCTGTCATTTTTAATTACAAGATGATTTGTTTATGTTATAACTTTTAAAATTCAATAATATATTTTAATTTTATTAATAATTGAGTGACCTAAAATGTATTTTACCTCGAAAGTGTGGTTTTTTAGTAAATAGTGGGCAAAGATAAAAGCATAGACGGTATTTATTAGGTAATTGAAGTTCAGTCAAGCAAATACAAATGGAGAGGAAGAAAAGCTCCGATTCGAACTCCAAGTTGAACATTGCCATCATACACCCAGATCTTGGCATAGGCAATTCCCTTTTTCTATTACAATTTCTTTTCTTATTTTCTATTATTTGTTTTAGTTTTTTTTATTAGTTTTTCTGTTTATACAAATTTTTTAGGTTGAATTCAGTAAATTTTGGTGGATGAATAGGTTTTCAAGTTTTAATTTGAGTGGAAAAAGTCTTGATCTTTGTCGATGAATAGTTTCCAATTCAAGTTATTATTATTGTTATTTTACAAATTGAAAAAGGGATTACTTACCCCTTTTTTTTATTTAAAGGTGGAGCTGAGAGATTGATTGTTGATGCGGCTGTTGAATTAGCATCCCTTGGGCATAATGTTCATATTTTCACAGCTCACCATGATAAAAATCGATGCTTTGAGGAAACCCGAGCCGGTAAATTTATTTTCCATTAATTTTTGCTACTTAATTGTGAGTTTAAGAATAAATAGACAGAGAGAGAACATTTTCATCCAAATCATAGTTTATTTTTAAAGTTGATTTGGTTATTTTCGTGCATATAGCTTATTAAAACTAGTAACAGTCAGTAAACTGCTCGATTATAGCTGAACCAGAACATAGAATTCAACTTGGTTTTCTTCTCGAGCATCAGTCTGCATGTAATGCTATAGAGCGAAGAGGAAGAATGTCTGATTATCTGAATAACGCCTTTTGTTCAGAGTAACTCACTGGTTTAACTGAAGTTGGATTACAGGTATCTTTCCAGCTACTGTATACGGTGACTTCCTGCCTCGGCATATTTTCTATCGTCTTCATGCCATATGTGCATATCTTCGTTGCATCTTTGTTGCACTTTGTGTACTGTTCATGTGGCCATCGTTTGATGTCATACTAGCAGACCAGGTCTCTGTTGTCATCCCATTGTTGAAACTTAATCGGTCAACCAAGGTATATAAAATTAGCTTTTGCCAATTGTTTTCTATAGTATCCGTCATGTATCATGATATCTCTCTCAGATGTTGCTCTTTTTTTGCTATAGGTTGTATTCTATTGTCATTTTCCAGATCTTTTACTTGCTCAACATACAACTTTTCTGAGGAGGATATACCGGAAACCTATTGATTTTATAGAAGAATTGACGACGGGTTGGTTTCCTGATACTGGCTGTTTGTTTCTACAGAATAAGGAATTTGGAGTACAATGTTCATCATAATTTGCTTTTCTGTTATGTTTTGGACATCAAAATTCAGGAATGGCAGATATGGTACTTGTTAATAGCAGATTTACCGCATCTACCTTTGCAAAAACATTTAAGCATCTTCATGCACGAGGAATTAGACCTGATGTTCTTTACCCTGCTGTTAATGTGAACCAGTTCGACGAGCCCCGTTCTTATAAGTAACCAACATACTTCTACACGCCATGGTCTCCTTTTTCCTGTTCCGGGAAATTGTTTAACTTTCATCTGACATTACTTCAATTCAGCAAAACTTCCCACCATAAGCATGTCTCTCTGAACAGTATTTCTTGTTTCCTTTGGCTAGGTTGAATTTTCTCTCCATCAATCGCTTTGAAAGAAAAAAGAATATAGATTTAGCAGTTTCCGCTTTTGCGATGCTTCAGACCCTTGAAGAAAATGTTCATTTTGCTGATGCAGAGTTGACAATTGCCGGTTAGCTCCTTGTTTTAACACGAGTATTGCCATAAATTTATGCTGATTGATGGATTTTGTGCATGGATGGAGTTTTTCCATCACATTATTTTCAATTTACTTAAACTAAGGTCTGTAGTTTTGTTTTTTATTATTTTAAATTTTAGGTGGATATGATAAACGCCTAAGGGAAAATGTTGAGTACTTGAACGAGCTCAAAAGCTTAGCGGAGAAGAAAGGAGTTGCGGATCGGATTAATTTTGTTACATCTTGCTCGACGGCAGAAAGGAATATTCTGCTCTCTCAATGCCTATGTGTCCTTTATACACCCACAGTACGTTGCCGTCAATCATTTTCACCAAGTGATTAGATTGACGAAAGAAGAGTACATTTTAACATTCAAAGATTTCTGATTCAATGTAGGATGAACACTTCGGCATTGTTCCATTAGAGGCAATGGCAGCACACAAACCCGTCATAGCATGCAATAGCGGTGGTCCTGTAGAAACAATTAAGAACGGGGAAACCGGGTTTCTTTGTGATCCAACACCAAAGGACTTTGCTTCGGCCATGGCCAAACTCATTCTAGACCCAGAGAGGGCAAAGAGAATGGGAGAACAGGCTAGGCAGCATGTCAGTGAATCATTCTCTACGCCGATATTCGGCCGGCGTTTGAATCAGTTTCTTCTGGATATTGCTGGAATTAAGTGGGACTAAAAGTTGGGAATCGACATAGGTGATGATGGCCTTTCGGAATGAGATTTTGCAGGCACTCTCAACATTACAGAAGTGTTCTCTTTCTCGAGTTATACACACACATACACACTCGAAGTTTTTATATTTTTATTTCTTTTGTTTTCCCATGAATACTGGACCTTGTCCTTTGATATGTGACTAAAGTCTCCTATAAACAATTCAGTAACATATCATTTAGTTATTCATCTATTAAAAATAAGTTACATAACAATGAAAATTTGTAAAATTTGACTTCTAAAAGTATTTTTTATTTTCATTTTTTAAAAATAGTTTTTAATTTTATTTTTTTTAAATTGAAAAAATGTGTTTAGTAAATGAAATAAAGCTTGTTTAGTAAATGAAATAAAACTTTATTTTCAATAATGAAAAGTGTCGCCTTAATCCAATTCAACTACTGCTTTTCCGTCCAGTGCTCCGACTCTTTGTCTACGTGTGGTGCACATAAGACGATGTCGTGGAAGCAGGGAACAGATTTTTGTTTGTGGGATGGGGTTAACTGTGATACTGAAACAGGGAAAGTGATCGGCCTTGATCTTAGTTGCAGCTGCCTTGTCGGCCCTATCCCCTCTAACAGCACTCTCTTCCGCCTCCGCATCTGCAGGAGCTTTCCCTTGTTTACAATGATTTCAACTCCTCCCCAATAGCATCCGAGTTCGGCGATCTTACATCTCTGGAGGTATTGGATCTTTCTTATTGCAATTTAACAGGTACAATTCCAGCATCTCTTGACAACCTCACACAACTCAAAACTTTAGCTCTTTCACATAATGGCCTCACTGGTCATATTCCATTCTCAGTTTTCTATCTCCCACAAGTTGAATTACTAAATTTTTCATATAACAACTTGCTCGGTTCTCTTCCTTCTCAAGTTAGCGGGCTTTCTCGAGTTGTTGATCTATTACTTGATCACAACTTTGTCAATGGCAGGGTACTCATCAACCAATAATTGCTTGACATGTGACATTAATTTTTTATTAATATTATTTATTAAAAATAATAAATTTCAAAATTACTATAAAAAATTTTAATTTTTTAGTTTCTCAAAATCCCTTTAAAGATAAGAGATCAGGTGCTGAGCGCGCAATCAGAGGTTTTAGTGGCTCAGTTTTGGTTCGAATGGCGGTGTAGCTTCAATGAAGATGACAAACAGGTGATGGGGCGGTGAAAAAAAGATTTTGTGTGATGGGATTTAGGAACGACGTACGACGACATGCGATTTTGAATGACGACGTGCGATGGCAAGAGAACAATCAGCTGGTATGAGTATAGCCACAAAAGGAGTTATCGATAGGAGTCTAGCGACAGAAAGAGCGACCATTGGTGGCTGATTCGATGGTGATATATAGGATTTAGAAATTTGAGATTAAGGATTTTGGATAATTCGGAGATTTTGAAAAAAGATTTTAGAAGAAGAAAATTATATTTAAAAAAAATAGAATTAAATAAAGTTAGAAAACATGTCACGTATTGATTGAATAATGAATTTGTTTTACAGGTTTTTAATGACTAAACACTTTAAATAATAACTTTGAAAACGTTAGATACTTTGTTAAGAAAAATTAAACGTTTAAAAAAACAATATATATATTTTATACATTTTTTTTATTTTAGAGTCCAGTCTAATCTTATATAACTTATTTTTACTTAATTCGTAGATCCAAAATTCATTACCCATATAAAATCAAGTTAAAAATATTTCAACATCGATATAAATATATATTGTAATTAAGTTCGAATAAAATTATTTTTAAAATTAAATAATAATACAAGTTGGTTCGAATTATTAAATGTTTTACAGGTCCAATCATTTTGTTTTTCATCTAGTGGCTGGGAATTAATGAAAAAATTAAGTAGTTTGGTTCTTTAGTCTTCGGTTGTCCTTGTCAATAGCCTGTCTTCGAATTTTCCATCTAAAATAATTTCCACAATTCGAAGGTAAAATAATCGGAAAGAAGATAATCATGAAGTCGGCAATTGGCTCGTAGCGTCAACCCCATGCACTTGGTTTAATTTATTGAACATCTTATTAATTCATAATTTCATAATGTACTATTATAAAATGGATGTAGCTTTCATTTGCTTTTGTTGTCTCAATAGTTTATGATGATTATAAGATAGTATTTTTTTCCAGAAGATCATCATTAATTTTTTAAAGATTAATGATCAAAATAGAACCAAAACATAATATTATATATGATTCAAAGTAAATTATAATTAAATGACTAAAATGAAAACTAAATAATAAATGAATGACTAAATAAATAATTTATTTTTTTGAGTATATGGTAAGCCATGACCTAGATACGCGACTAGACCTGGGCTTAAATTATTGTTTATGCCAATGTTATGTACAATGGATTCATATTTGTATAAGACCAAAATTTATAGATTCATTGAATTGTGTATATAAATTTTATGTATCAAACTATACTAGTATAAATAATATAAAAAATATATTCAGATAAATTAATTTTAAAAATCGTATTTCATTTTTTCTTAATTATGATTTATAAGTCGATACATTACCTTTAAATTAAAGTCAACGAGGGCTGGCACAAGTGGTCACGATTAAGGAATTTGAGCTTGTAAGGTCAAATTCGAATCCTACCACCGTCACTCTTGGTGGGCAATCTGTAAATTCTTATATAAATTCCAATTGAATCTTAGGTATACCTTGTACTAAGGGAGTCGCCCCTTACCTAATTTAAAAGTTATAAAATGATTATTCGATTATTTAGTATGTTCTAAACTCATCATTTTTTGTCAAAAAATTAACGGCAGTCTGAGTTTGATGTTAATCTAATGACTGGGATATAATAAAATTTGATATCATAATCTAAAAAAAACTAGGGTAAACTATATCAGTAACCACCCAACTATAGCCCTTTTTCACTTTGACCACCATTTTTTAATTCTTGTCAATCAGGTCATTGTTACTTATATATTCTACCAATTTGGTCATACATGTCGCCACCCGATTGGAGGATTTAATTTATTTTAATTTAATATATTTAATTTTCACCAATCAGAGGATGACACGTGTCACCCTCAAGTGAAATGAAAATTAAAGACGCTAAATAGAGGGCCATGGGATTAAAAGTTGTTTTGTGTGGGTGACAAAGAAGGGCATTAACCATTGGGACAAGGCTAATTATTTACCTTAAAATGGACTACATGATTTATAACTTGTATCTTAGTGTAATTTTAAATTCAAAATATTATATATATCTTAACTTAAATTCACATCTTAATAAAATTGAATATATATTTTATTTTTATCTTAACTAAAGTAAAATATATATATAGTCTTTTTTTCTAAACTTAAAAAAATATTTTTTACCTTAACTTAAATATTCAAATTTTATTCTTATAATGTTTTAAAATTAATATAAAAAATATATTTCTTATAGTTAAGATGAAAATAAAATATATTTCTAAATTAAAATAAGAATAAAATATTTTAATATAATTTTTAAAATTAAAATGAAATATATATTTTCAAATTAAGATAAGAATAAATAATATTTAATAATTTAAGGTAAGAATATAATATATTTAATAATTTAAGTTAAGAATATAATATATGTAACAAGTTTAGATAAAAATAAAATATATTTTTAAGTTAAGGTAGAAATAAAATATGTTTTATAAGTTAAGATAAGATTAAAATATATTTTTCAGTTAAGATAAGAATAAAATGAATTCAATAAGTTAAAAAAATAAAATATAATTTTAATGTTAAGTAATGATTTTAAGTTAAGATATATTTAATATTAAGAAATTAAGATTATACTAAGAAACAATATATATACAATATGTGCTCTATTATAAACCACAAAATAGGCTTGTCGTAGTGGTTGATGCCTTTATTTATCACCCAAAGGATGCTGGTTTGAATCCAATGACCCTTTTTAAGTGCCTTTAATTTTCATTCTACTTGAGGGTGATACGTGTCATCCTCTGATTAGTGGAAAATAAATATATTAAATTAAAATTAGATTAAATCGTCCAATTGGATGATGACATGTGTCATGTTATTTGGCACTACCAACACGTGGCATGATCTGATTCAAATATTATTATTTTTAATTTATTAAAATTAGTACCAAATTGATAGAATATATAGTAATAGTGACCAAATGTGTAATTGTACCAATTTCATTAACTGTCACGTCAACACTTCCGTTAATTGTTAATGACTAGTGGCCTGATTTAATGCATTGAAATAGTTGGGTAGTCTGATTGTCAATAATTCAAAAATGGTGGTCAAAGTAAAAAGACGCCATAGTTGGATGGTTTCTGGTATAGTGTACCCAAAAACTATAGTATCTTAGTCAACTGGTTAAGATTAAACTCAAACTGTTGTCAATTTTTAATGGAAATGACCAATTTAGAACATATTAAATAGTTTGTGATCATTTTGTAATTTTTTAATAGTGCGAATATTTGTTCACTTTACCCTTAATTAAAATGTTTAAATTTAGTGTAGTATTTTAAACTATTTTTAATAAAATAATAAATTATTTATTTTATTTTTATCACATACCTATGTTATTTTCTTGTCAATAAAACTAAGCTATGAGTGCCTGGGGAATATATGCGGTGCGGGGAAGCGTTTGGATTATCCGCGGCCAATTTGCAAAAGCTTTATCCAGAGTTTTATTTATTGCAGTAATTTTTAGGGTAAATTACACAAATGATCTCTTGATAAGTATGTTATTATTAAAAGTTATAAAATGATTTTCTAACTATATGATATTATTTTTTTGAATCCATCAACCAATTTATATTGTTGTCAATATTTTAATAGAAAATAATAAGTTTAAAGCATATAAATATTCGGGTAAATATTTTGTAATTTTTAATAGTTGGGAAATTTAACAAAACAAAGTCATATTTTGTAAGTTTTAATAGTAGTATATGTTCAAACAATACTCTCAACCATTTGACATAGAATGCTTACTCTCTTGACATTTATGGTGCTCGAACTTAAACCCTAAAAGACTAATATAATTTTTTTATCACCAAAATCGCTTGGTTTGTATATAATGATGAGTACGGTGACCTTATAATGCATAAACATCCATAAAGTAGGAACAATATGCAAATTTATATCTAATTTTTTTAATTCCCCAAAAAACATTCTAATGACTACCCATGAAAACTAAAAAAAAATTAGCTGATCCTTTTTTCCATATGTAATGGGAGTAAGGAGAAGGTATGATATTAGGCTGCCCCCAACACCAGGTTGAGAGCAACTTTCGTGGGAGACCTCCGAATTATGAAATACCCTCCATGAGACTCGATCTCACGACCACAAGGTTAAGAGCCTGTGCTCTACCAACTGAGCTGGATGGGCAATTCACAACCCATGAAAACCAAGTTGCGATGTATAATTGAACAATTCATCCTTCCTTTGATTGTAGACATAAATCTGCCGCAAACAGTTGGCATGTATGTTTCATTAATGAATCAGACTTGCATAAATAAATGAGCCACTTGGAAAAAAAAATCTTGCATACAATTCATTAATTATTTTGATGACAATTGTATGAAAAATCAGCTACCTACTCTAACATTGGCTGACTGAGTTGCAATGTACAACAGATGAGTTGTTTGTTTCTCTTTTTCTTTTTCCTTTTCCTTTTTGTTCATTGTTTCTCTCTTACTCTTTTTTTTTTTTAATTTTCTTCTTGCAGATGATCGTTCGAATTGGGAGATTGAGGATTTTAGTGGTTTATGTGATGTTTAGGTGAGGATTTTGAGTGGTAAACAGCAATAGTGGCAGCAAGCGTTTAGTTTTTTTTTATTATTATTATTAGTATGTTTTAAAAACAAGATAGTATATATTTAAAGATACTTTCAACATTTTGATATTAAACGGTCACATCATGTCATTAATGGTGCTCGAACTCAAAACCTTAAAAAAAATAACAACAATTCATTTATTTCCACAATCGTTTGATTCATGTTATTTAGTTGGGTTAATATGATGGAAACCACCATGTTCCTCTACGACGTCAATTCATCAATCAAGTCTCTCCTCTTTAAATCCCGTCAATTTGACCCACCCGCCATAAAAATAAGGATAAAGTACACAAATAGTCCCTCAACTATTGGATGTTATTTTGTTAAGTTCTCTAATTATTAAAAGTTACAAAATGATCACTTGATTATAGGATATTGCTTTGTTGAGTCTCTACTATTAAAAGCTAAAAATGGTCACCTAAGCATTGATTATGTTCCAAAATCATCCTTTTTCGTTATAAAAAAAATTGACGGTCGTCTAAGTTGAACGTTAACATGCTGACTGAGATATGATAGACGTTTAAGATTCTGAGATCATATTTTATCATATCTCAGTCAGCGAGTCAACATCTATCTCATACTACCGTCAATTTTTATAACGAAAAAGAACGATTTTGGAACACAATGAATAGTCAAATGACCATTTTATAACTTATAATAGTCGGGGACTCAACAAAGCAACATCTTATACGTAAAAAAAAATTATGTCGAAATTAAACATGTAAAATTTAATCTTCATTAAACATCAACTACAAATAAAGCATGTGAAATTTGATTCAGTGGAGAGACGGAATTTTACAAATTTGTAAATATTCTTTTGGAATGCCATAATCAAGGTTTAAATACTAGACATTATAACACTAATGCACAGTTTCAATTACTTACTCTTTTAAGTTGTTGGTTCATGTGGTTTAAAATCTATACCATATAAATAATTTATAAACATATAAGTTTATTATTGATTAGAACATATCAGATTTAAATCTTATTTTAAAATTCAAAATTTAAAACAATATATATGCAGAATATTAAGTTTTAAAATAATACGAAAACCCTTATTTGTTTAAACATTTATTATTTGATACATTCATAATGAAATTTAAAATTCTAAAAAACAAGATTAAACTAATTAAAACATGTATGAAGAAAATTTTGACCAGTTCCTAGTTTATCAAATGTTTATCTATTCCGGAAAAAAGTTCATATAGTCTAATTCTAAATAAATAAATTTTAAATTAGAAAAGTTATATTTAATATTACTTTTATTTTTATATTTTTAATATTTATATAAATATATGAATTTTATATTTTTTATATAATATATTAATAACAATGTTAATTAAACTAAATTAAACCCGTCTTTATACTTGTTTTCTTAAAAAAATATTTTACATATAAATGATCAATTTATAATTTATCAATCGAATCAAGTTTTACTATCTCAATCATCAGTGGATCCATTCTTAGTTTAGGATAAATATGTGTGATCCAAGAATTTTAATTTTTTTGATTAATTATTTATCGTTCCTAAAATTTTATTTGTGTCCGTCGCAAATAAAAAATTTATATTACTAAAAGATATGTGTTTGCCTTTAAAAAAATTCTCAATCTATTTGTTTATTTATTTTTATTGAAATTTTAATTTTTGTTTTCACGAATCAAATTATCTCATGATTAAATAATAATAATAAAACTTTCTTTTTCGAAGTAATTAGCCTTATCATGATTGCCAAACCTTGGCCTATAAAAAGTGGACCAGTTGGAGCAGTTTTAAATGCAATTCATCAAAATTTCAAGAAGACTGTTTCAAAGGTGTAGAAATGGCGACAGTTCCAGGGAGGGATAAGTACAGGTCTTTCCTTGACGATGAAACAGATAACGTTCAATGGCGACACGGTGGCCCTCCGACATATGATGTCGTCAATCAGCTCTTCGAACAAGGCCGAACCAAGGTCATTTTGATTCTCCTTTTTTTCATCTCTCGTAAACTTTTAATTATTTGAATCAGATGTTAATGGAGCCATGGAAGTGGGGTCTTGTTGCAGGAATGGGAAGAGGGATCACTTGAAGAGATAGTGCAGAATGCTATAAAGACATGGGAGATGGAACTCTCCCACAAGGTTCGACTGCAGGACTTCAAGTCCATTAACCAGCAAAAGTTCAAGCTCATCGTTAATGGTATGAATATATATATATATATATGATAATTTCATAAAAAGTTCAACTCTCCTGAAAATTTGATAGTTTAATCATGAATATGCGATATTGTTTTACTTAGTAATATCACTAATCATTCAGATAAATGATAAATAATTGTTGAAACACGTATATTTTATTTCTTAATAAAACCAATAAATATTATTGATGTACGTGTTTTTTTTCTTCATAGTTAATTTTAAGCTTTTAAATTAAGTGAAAAATTTTACGATAGTATGAATTTAACTAATTTCTTATGAAAACAAATCCAATCAATGAATCAAATAATGATAATTATATACAAAATTATAATATATAAAAAATGATATATATATATATATATATATATATATATTTATTTATTTATATGGGCGGGTGGGGCTTGGGGATATAATAGTGGAAAGAGAAAAATTAAGATGCAGTAATTGTTTTTATTTTAGTAAGAAAGCAAAATTTCACCTACACATAGAGAAAGATGAAGTGGTTCATATTTGATTTTTTTTCTTCTAATTAAGTTGATATTTGATTAACTCGTTATTAATTCTATCAATATCTTTATGTAAGTAAAGATATACAAATCAATCATCCTAAACCAAATACGACAGGAATTATAGTATGGTCAGTTGTAGCAAAGTAAAACTCGGTAAACATGGTGATTGAAGGAGGAGAAGGATTAAACGGAGAAGAGGCTCTGAAGATGGGGAGTTACAATGCACTATTGAAGAATTCACTGCCAAAGGAATTCCAGTATTACAGAGCAGATGAGGAGAGTTTTGAATCATCTCACGAAGCATTTCGTTCGGCTTTTCCACGTGGATTTGCATGGGAAGTCATTGCCGTTTACTCTGGACCTCCTTTGATTACCTTCAAGTTCAGGCATTGGGGTATTTTTGAGGGTCCTTTCAAAGGGCATGCCCCTACGGGAGAGACTGTTGAATTCTATGGCTTAGCAACTGTTAAGGTACGTTTTCAATATAATTGAAAAAAGAGTGCAAATTAGAGAGAGAGAAAAATCAATTCAAAAGGCATGATGAACAAGACAAAGAAATTTGAAATTAGGTACTCTTGTAGTGCCCCATAAAATTATTGGACTGATTATGATTTTAAAAATAAGTGGGTTATGTCGTCACATTTGAAAAGTTTCAGGCTTGGAAGGATTATAGAATTTGTTGCCTTTCCTTAACATAAATTAACGTTATGTTAATTTGACCAAAACCACAATTTTAGCTCAAAACTAATGATTGAAGTCTTATGATAAAGCAATACTTTCAACTCAATTTATAACTTATTTCATAGACAGTATTAAGATCTAAATCATGAATGTCTCATTTCGATCTCATTAGACTAACTGATAGTCGATGGTCATGTACTTATATCTTAAATTTATTCGAATATAAATCATATAGTTGTCTAATTATGTTGTTAATGTGAACAGGTTGATGAAAATCTAAAGGCAGAAGAAGTGGAGGTATACTATGACCCTGCACAGCTATTTGCTGGCCTATTGAAAGGTCCATCAATTTCAGACTCTGCCTCAGCCTGCCCATTTCATTCCACCACTTAAATAAATCCATCTGCTTTCGCATTTCAATACCTTAATCACTGCTCATGTTGTATTTGCTTTATTTTTATTTTCATCTTCAACTCATCTGCATCTTCCGTAATAATTAAGCAAATAGATTGTTTAAAATTTGTCTAAATTTTTCTTTTAAAAAAAATCCTCTTTTCCATTACAAAATCTAAAAATTGATACATAATATCATTGTTGCGTAAATGTTACATTTAATGATACAAGCAATATTATAAAAATAATGATATGGAGCTTCCAACATTTTTCAGTTAAGATCAATTTCGGGGTCAACGCCTCGTTGACATTCGTTGGCAAGAGCCACATTTAACATTTCAGAGCAGAACGGATCATCCGGTTTCAGCCATAAAGCCTGTAAGGGACAGCATTTGGGATCCAAAAAGGTTAAATGCAATAACAAAGCTGTTCTTCAACAATCTTACAGTAAATCAAAATCTATTGATCAACTTGCTCAACTGTTTAATACTGAACGTCATTGTACCGAGCTAAAGGAGATGCAGCATGGAGATGGAAAGGTCTAACACATTTCAAATAAAAGATGTAAAAACAAATCTTAGATTACTGACCTTGTGATAGTATGTAATTGCATCACTAAAATTATCCTGCAAAGGGTTAAAAACAAAATCATATACATATAAAAAATTCTACCATAAACATGTACCCACAGGCTACATGTTAAAGATTTTTTTTTGATAGGGATGATAGGCCTCGTTAAAACCCCCTTCTTGATTAATGGATCACAAAGTGCTCCTTAATAAGCGGAAGGAGGAAAAGAGTACCTAAAACTTCATTAATAACCTCAAGTTACATAGGACTTAAAAACAACCATACAAACTCCCTTTACAACAAACCAACCCAAAGCATAAAAGATAACCTAATACAACCAGAACAGTGTATCTATCCAATACCATCCTTTGCTAAAATGTCAGCCTCAACATTGGCTGACCTAGCAACCCATCTAATGATACCATTCAAACCTCTAAACTTATCACCAATATCAGTCACTAAATCAATGTAGACAAAGGGACATCGTTCTCTATTCTTGACCCAATCCACTGCTAATTTACTGTCAGATTCAACGATTAAACGTTCCTAAAAACGTTGTTGAATCGAAGCAAAATAGGATAAGCCCTTCTTAATTGCCATAAGCTCTATCAAGATAGGAGGACCTGGACCAGCAGCCTCTTTGAAAGAACCCACCACCGAGCCATCCTCAACTCTAAGAATGCCTCCAACACCACTTTTCCTCCAGTCTGCGGTCACTGCCGCATCCACATTCAACTTTATAAATCCCTTTGGAGGATTTAATTTCCTACTAGTTTATTAAGTTCTGAAGCAAGTAATCCCAGCTAATCACAAATTTAAAAACAACTTTTTCATGTATGGTCTATAAAACAACCATTAGGCGAAATTTAATTCTTAATGCATCTGTTACAAGATATAAATTCTATTAAGTATGTAGGACACAAAGGGGACTGACCTGCAAATGGTATGTGTATGCAAGACCTGAGTAAGTGCTCAAGCTTTTAGTTGATAACGTAAGTGCTTTCTCATAGAATGAGATTGCTTCTTGGAACATCCTGATTAATAACATCCCATATAATCAGTCTTAAAAGATCAAGTTCAACACTAGTCTTTTGGCAAATTAGTACCACCAAAATCAAATCAGTATCTATCATTCTTTCTAATAAAAGATTTGAAAACATCAAAAGATATAAATGTTTCAGGAAAAGCATGAACATTACTGTGGAGTTATTAGGGAAGAGAAAATTGATTATAGCATAGAATTAAAAAAAGTTAAAAAGACATACTTTAGTTTCCTATAAGCATGGGCAAGATTAACCACGGTTGGTTCCCACATTTCACTTAATGGGTTCGGAATAAGAGCCAATGTTTTCTCAAACCACCAAACAGCTTGATTATACCTGCAATTTTTTGAAACAAAAATGTTGTTTTAAGAACTAAAAGTAGAAATGTAACTTAAAAAATATGGTACACGTGCAATGAAATCTTTACAAAAAAGACTTATACAATGAAATGACAATTTAAATTTAAAAAACAGAATATGTTGCATGAGATAACTACCCGCCAGGTAAACAAGTTCTATAAAATCATGTTTGAAAAAGAAAAACCTCCTAGTTTAAGTATTAATCCGTTGACCACAGTTCAATGGAATATTAAATACATTTTAAAATTGTTCCCTGGTTCTCATTGTCAAACATAAGAGTATGAATCCATCAAACTTATAAACAGGCTACAACAAGTTCAAAAATCCAACTCTATGATAAGGTGCATTATACTTACTCTTTCTTATGATATGCAACAACTCCAAGCTCATTATATACTAGTGGATCTGCAGGACAAATTGCCTTTGCCTGCATGATAAACTGAAAAGCAATACCCTTTTAAAAAAAATTAATCATACAAGAAATTATGATTTCTGAAGATACTAAGAACAAATAATTGAAATGAAACAGAGACAAAAGATATGATTGTAAGCCAAGAAAACTTAGCAGTACAGCACAAGCCACAACACCAAAAACGAGAAACACAATGATGAATAAAACTACAGAAAAATATTTCTTTCATCTTGTCAACCAGTATACTTTTCTTTGGAAGCCAAACTATCAACTCCTCCAGTTCTGCTGATTCAAGAGATGATGGAGACATCATCATTTCTAGTGTTTGCTCAGTTTCCAAAACTTTCTTAAAAATCCAAGCACAATGTTTAAGAAATTTTATAGTTCTACAGAATATCTAGCTCTAAGTGCAATCTCCCTTAACAGTGAGGAATATGGCACAATGCACAATGCCATGGCAATTTTCAATCACTTGAAAATAATGTCAAAAAATAATGTCAATATTGGGGTTAGGCCCTCGTTCATTATTTTTATATACACATTTAAATGGTAATTATCACTGCATTGAAAATTGATGGACGAAAAAGTAATGGACTGGATCCTAATCCTCAATATTGATACTGGCTGTTATATAGGTACTTTGTTATGAAACATAATAGGCCTACCCACCATCAAAACTATTATTACAGTTGTCCTTATGCCTACCTCCTTGAGTTTGTTTGAAATAAACTCTTAACATACAAACCATGTAATATGGTATTTCTACAGATTCTGTCAAAAATAATGTAATAGTAACCAGCTCTTAAGGTGTGGTTAATTTATTCTGCAAGAAGCCTATAGAGTGTTCCAAAGAGTCCATAGAAAAAAACTCTTATACCAACTACTAGGAAGTTTTAAGTCCAAAAAGAGGTCACACAAGCAATGATAATTCTTTAATCTTCACCAGGCTCAGTCAAAATCATAGTGTGTCCAAGTTTTCAAGATGGCAACCACCTGCTCAGCAAGCCTGAAGCTGTGAGTCCGCATGTATTCCATTCCAATGTACAAAGTTGGCAAATGGCACCTGGAATAAGAGAATATCAAGATTCAACCTGTAAAAGGACAATCCATAAATGATAAGAAGGCTTCGACTACACTTACAACACAAAAGGAGGGGGAGATTTTGGATAATGACAACCATATATTAATCAGAATACATAACTTCTTTTATTTTAACAAAAGCATTGACTACAATGTGAGATAGCAAGTTTTAGAAACAGGAGAAAAACCATAGAACTTGCAGTCTCCAGTCTAGCAGGAAAAAGAACTCTGAAAAGCAAATATTGAGAAACACCATTTCAAGAAAGAACAGGAGTGATGATTATGGTTGCAACAAAGGTTCAAGGAAATAAAGCTAAAAAAGAAAAAAGAACTATAGAAAAAATATAGCTTTTTTTGTATAACCACAGGGTATTCAAACTATTGACCAACTAATCTAGAACAGGTACTATAGAAAATATATAGCTTTTTAGCTTCAGCATAAAGCAACATCTTGATCAAAGAAATAATAAATAACATAAAATTACCCTGGAAACAGGCGAGCAGCGGTCCTATAAACTGACATTGCTTGATCACCCTCTTCACGAACAGCATACGCATTTCCAAAACCTATCCATGCAGGAGCAAATGTTCCGTCTAAACTTGTTGCCTTGCTACAGAATGGGGCAATATCAGTCAATTCAACTGACAAAGGAGTCCCAAAACTAAAATATTTTTTACAAGCTGTACAGATAAATCTCAACATTAAAGGTGTAATGCATGTTAAAACTAAATTATTGAACAACCAGGCATCAAATCTCCAATTAAAATGACTAATCACTAACCAGGACAATGGGCAAAGCTAATATTAACAAACAAAATCCTAATAAGATCAAAACTAAAATATCTTTTTACCAGTGGAACAGACAAATGTAGACATTACAGGTATAATGCATATTAAAAGTGATTCATAAAACAACTTGGCATCAAATCTCCAAGAAAATATCTCATACCACCAACCAGTGAAATTGGAAAAGGATAATGAGCAAAGACAACAGAAACTAAAAAACATAACCAATGGCCAACCCGTAAGACCTTTTACCCTAGAATAATTTCCGTATTATCATGATATCTCAAAATTAAAAAAAAAAAAAGGCCACAATGTTTAAGCCTCTCAGAGCACATGTGATACCTAGATGCAATACTATCATCTAAACATCTTATGAAGTTTATTTTTATAGGTACTTTCCTTTCTATCAAATGTGAGATTTTGTTAGTATCAAACCAGGTGATGATTAATAACATCACTGAAAAAATAATGCTCGGGGATCCATTATGTTGGTCAATTAGTAATCTTGTGAAATATATACCTGAAATAACGGCGTGATTGATCGTGTTTCTTGATACAATAGTAGTAACAGCCTACTGCAAACCATGACAAAGCCCTGATAATAAAGTACTAATTAGGTGAAGAGTGTAATACACTCTAGAAAGTCATCATAAAAGACAAATAAATTTATGCACAACTACAACTATTTCTCACTTTTGGGGATGATCCTTTACTAAACTGCTAGCCATAAGGTAAAGCTCATTTGATTGACCAAGTTCCATTGCCGCGGCTAAATGCACCACAGTACATTTCAGGTGGAAAGGATCCTTTTCAAGCAATCTGCAAGGCAAAATACGGAGCGTAAATTGAATATAGCATCCTGGGTAGAGTTCAGAATCACTTTCA